AGAAGACATGCTGATTCATTTTCATACATGTTGCTCAAATAGGACCAGTTTTTATACATTAATCTGCTCTGCTATAGGTTTTTTTTTTCACATGTGCAGTTTGGTCCACTGAAATACTGAAATGCTGGATCCACATCTGGGTTACGGTCCAGTTGACGACCCCTGATACTTGTTATAAAGACTCCAACCTAGACCTATGTGAGTGCAGGGGTTGGGCCAAAATGTTCTTCCATATGTTGCATGTAATTATACACTTCCACCAGAGAGGTCTCCAAATCTCCAAAACTGACTTATTGTAGCTTTAAACTCAACGTGAATCAGACATCGAAATGCATTTTTCTACCATTGTATGATGTAAACACGGTAGGGACTCTGAGCCAGCTGAGCATTTCACTCAGTCACAGGTGAGGGTGGTGGGAGGGGGAGGTGAAACATGACATTATTGGTTAATATTATTTTTCCCCACCTGCTGGTTCGTAGTGACATATTCAAAAATCAGAAATGTTTCAGAGGCAAAAAAGCGCATTTTTATGACATTTGATGGAAAATAATTGGAACACAATAATTTTGTCTTTTAAATGATATGATTTGATGAATCGTGCTTGATATGGCTCAAAACATGACCTAACAAGATACTTGATTTCAGGTTGACTTTAAGGACACTGTGCCGAAATGGAAGCATACCCCCTGATATTGGCTATAAAGGCTCCAGACTAGACCCTTGTGAGTCCAGGGGGTTTCGCATCAACAGGTTAACAAAATGCAAGTTTAAACTTTAACATGCTAACTTTTATAGACAGTTACTTCACCTGGTTAGCTTGCAAGATGGAGGGGTAGGAATGGAGCAAGAGTGGGCTCTAAAATACCAAATATCAAGCTTGTTTAGTATTAGGTCACGCAGGGTTGCCCACTATCACCTTTTTTATTGTTTGTCATTTTGGACTGTTTCAATTGGTCCATTTTGTTATGACATTACGGTAGAAAAAACTGACCAAAATGGAAACACAGGGTTTTGTTCCCACAACAACAGCATGTAAAATCATCACCCAAAGGGGCCTCAAATCTTTCCCAGCCTAAGGCTTCAAAATGGCTTAATTCGGCCCTGAATACACCCCTATATTACTACAGCATACACAAATACCTTACATCATATTTAATGGCTTTATGAAGTTTAAAAAACATCTGAGGGAATGTCACCCAACCGGTGTCACACAAAACACATCTAATGATATGCTATCCTGTGCTGTGCATTTCCCCCCATTGTTAAAAAGCTCTCAGGAGTGCATTAGTCCTACTGATATGACAGCTGTTTCACACCCTCTCCAGCTCTGCTAAGTGGCTAGCTGGAGAGCGGCGTTCCATCCCTGAAGCCTCACTCTCGACCCACTCCCATTCTCTCAGTGCTCGGCGAGCCCGAGGGGAGCGTGTGCTCTAATTGCTGACACCATATCTCTGGGCCCTCTGAAGCAAGCCGCTCTGTCTCTTTGTGGGCCGCGTAATCCATTAGCATAAATCAGACGTGCGCGCGCAGACAGGTGTTGCATGAATAATTAAAGGTCGCCACATTAGCGTGTCCTGAGAAAGACGGAGGGAAAAAGATGCAGCAGAATTAATGTGTTTGAACACACGGTCCAACGTCGGCGTGCATGCGCACACGCCTGATGTAAACATATGCGCGTGCACGTACAGGCGTGCAAACAATACTGTGACACAGGTTGTCCATCATTTCAGTGCTAGCTCTGTGCTTCAGGTCACGTCTCTTGCAGCACTGGCCCCTGTGGTGGGCAGAGAGTTTCCATCAGAAGTAGCCCGGGCACTGTACAGTGTCCCTTCTGCAGAGGTCTGTTTGGAGGGACAGGGTGAAATCTAGATAGCAGCAGTGCAGGAATTGGAGAGCACTCCTGTAGAACTGGCCTGTGTAGTGATGTAGGAGCCAACGGGGCCACTTTGCACTTTTTCTGTCTGTTAATACAGCGGCCCACAAGTACATAGATGTGGATATTTTGGTTTCTGCAATATATGCTTGTGTCCATATGCTGTCAAAAAGTTATTTATTAATTACATTAACATATAAATGCACAGTTAAAATGAAAACTAGTAAAGCAATGACTCATCAAAGCCAAAACATAATTGTATTTGTCATAGGAAATAAACCCCATTTCCAAAAAAGTTAGAAAATAGTACAAAGACAACACATCAAATGTTGAAACATTATTGAAATTTTTATGTTGAAATTTTATTGTTGTTTGAAAAATATTTTCCCATTTTAAATTTGATGCCAGCAACACTTTCCAAAAAAGCTGGTAAAGTTGTGTAATGCTAAAAAAAAAGAAACCTGGTGGTTAATTGGCAACGTCAGTAACATGATTGGGTATAAAAGAGTCAGAAGTAAAGATGAGGAGGGGTTCACCACTCTGTGAAAGACTGCAGGATCAAATAGTGCAACAATTCAAGAATAACGTTTCTCAGCATCAAATATCAAAGAACTGTTGCTTTTCATCATCTATGGTACATAAATCTCTTGTATGTAAGGGACAAGGCCAAAAAACAGTATTTGCTGGCTGTGATCTCTGGGGCCTCAGGCAGCACTGCATTAAAGTGGAAGAGTGGAAATCACTGCATGGACTCAGAAACACTTCTGAAAACGACAGTCGGAGAAAACAGTTCATCACTGCATCTAACTCTCTAAAACGCAAAGAAGAAAACCGTACATAAACAGGATCCAGAAATGCTGCCACCTTCTCTGGGCCCGAGCTCATTTAAAATGGACTGAGGGGAAGTGGAAAAGTGTCCTGTAGTCCGATGAATCAACATTTGAAATTCTTTTCGGAAATCATGGAGACTGTGTCCTCCGGGCTAAAGACCACTCAGCTTGTTATTAGTGCACAGATCAAAAGCCAGTATTTATGATGGTATAGGGGGGCATTAGCGCACATGGCATGGGTGACGTGCACATCTGTGAGGGCACCATTAATGCTAAATGATATATATATGTTTTGGCAACATATGCTGCCATCCAGATGACGTCTTTTTCAGGGAGGGTTTTGATTATTTCAGCAAGACAATGTAAAACCACATTCTGCATGTATTACAGCAGCATTGCTCTGTATTAAAAGAGTCTGGGTGCAAAACTGACCTGCCTGCAGTCCAGACCTGTCACCACTGATAACATTTGGCACTTTATTCAATGAAAAATATGACAAAGGAGATCCCGAACTGATGAGCAGCTGAAATCCTGTATCAAACAAGAACAGGAAAACATTTCACTTTCAAAACTACAGCAGAGTCTCCTCAGTTCCCAAACACTTACAGAGTGCTGTTAAAAGAAGAGGTGATGAAACACAGTGGTAAACAGGCCCCTGTCCCAACTTTTTTGGAACATGTTGTTGACATCAACTTCAAAATGGGCGTATATTTTTCAAAAAAAACAATAAAAAATTTTAGTTTCAACATTTGATCTGTTGTCTTTGTAGTATTTTCCTTTAGAAATATGGTTTACATGATTTGCACATCATTGCATTGCATTTTTATTCACATTCTGCACAGCGTCCCAACTGTTTTGGAAATGGGGTTGTATTTGGAAAATGTCTTTGAGAGTCATAATATGATATTTTGGCCATACTGCCCACCCTTAGGTCTGGGTTACTCCAGGATCAGGGTTTGGAAACACTGCCCTGTAGTGAGTTTACAGAATGAAGTTGAAATAAAACATTTATGCAACTGATTGTGGCTTGAAGTCAAGTAGGTGTTAGCATGGTGACAGCATCACTGCCAAAGTAGATAAATATCAGGAGAGCTTTTTCAGTCTGTATTGTTTATTTAAGGTGGAAAAAAGCAGTGGGATGTTTTTGTACTCTATATATATTGTTGTGTGTTGTTCTGAGTTCGCCTGGAGTTCTATGGCATCTATGGCTTCCAAAAATAATCAACAATTAGTTTATTTTACTGCTGCGGTCGAGGACGAAGTTGGAAAAATGTAACTCTTGAGGGAATGTTCCTCTGATCGCTTCATAGCCAGCAGAAATGTCCACTGCTCCATTGAAAACAATGGAATATCTGATTTACTGTTGACCGCCTACTACCGTCATGTAAATGCAGCATGAGGCAGTCCCCCCTATGCAGGTTTGGGGTGGCAGTGGCCTGTGTGCTGGTCTGGGGTGTAGTAGAGCTGTCCCTGGGTGAACTTGTCCAGCTGCGCTGGGGGGAAAGTGAGTCTGAGCCGGACGCCAGGCTGTAATGGAGCGTCCAGCTGGACTCTAGGGGACAAGTGGGATTCGCTTCAGCACTTTCACTGCAGCTCATTCTAGCCCTGACTGCTCCGCTCCTACATTAATTACACTTGAAGGGAGTTTATTTTGACTGACAATCCCTGGAGATGGAGACATTCCAGCAGCCCTGAAGAAACGGGTCAAGACTGAAGATTATTTCGGGTGATGGTACATGAGACCATTAAAAACGTGGCCTTGCTGATTTTAAGTACATGCCTGGAATCCAATCAGTCATCTGTCACGTGGGCCTGCAGTGGGACCGGCCGACGAGAGAACCTGTTAGCAATGCTAGAAATGCATGAATAATCAGCTAACAAACCAAACTTTTTAGAATCAATCAGATGGGGATTTTAGCAGGTAATAAAATGGGAATTGCAACAATATGAAAAGATTTGAAACCATTCAGATGCTGTGATAAATATTAGCTCTCTGCAAATTAATTCTGTGACGAGGGAGCTTGAAATTTGTAACATTTCTTTGAGTTATTAGAATATTTACAGCAAGCTGGTTTGGTAATACCACACTGAATCCCATGCCTGCGTCACATTTAGCAAACGTCAATACAGCATTCAGTATTAAAATCACTGCTGTCCAGCTCCTCGCCCAAGAATTCAACAGCACAGTCCGGCAAACTTCAGAGATAAAAGGAATCAATAGCAATCAAATGAAGCAAGCAAGTTTTCTGGCTTTTTCTCTCTCCTCATGCAGAACACACACACACACCAGAGACCATTAAAAATATACATCACATTTATTTTCAGCTGTCACCATGACTCTTCACAGAGTGGTCTTTGTCTTTGTCTAATGATGTGTTTGGGCACTACAGGTGAGCCCCAAGCCCTCTAGCCTACCTCAAACACTCACGCAGAAGCCCAGCAGCCTCGCCTGTGTGTCTGAAAACACACACACACACCCATGCGCACACACGCTCACACACACACACAATAATATAAACAAAAACAAAGAAAGAAACCAAAACAAACTAACAAACTAAGGCCTCGTCCACTCTAATCTGGATATTTTTAAAAAGTTTTTTCCCCGTTTTAAAAAAATCTTTACAAACACTAACATTTTTGTAAATCTCCATCCACAGAGGGCGTAAAAAACATGAGGATACCAGCCCTGTTAGGGGGCATAAAATTTGATGTCATATGTTTCAAGAATAACACGGTGAGCATCTGCTTTGCACAAAATATACAGTAAACCACAGAGCTCAGAGGTTTTCCAATGAAGTGGCGGCAAGGCTTTCAGTTGCAGGCCGTCAGACCTCCATAATTAGACATTTCACAAAGACTCAAAGTCAGATTTCTGCCAGAAAATAAAATCTTGAAAAACCTTCTTCGTAAACCTCTGAAACACTCAGCTTCTCTGCCTGAACAGTCTTGTTTTTCTTAGCTTTTAACTCTGTTTGAATTATATTTGAATTATATTTAAATCTGATGTTGGTTAATTATCATGTAGTCACATATCTTTAGATTTGCAATCAAGCTGAACTGACTGCAGTACATTCTAACGCCACTGCGTTACCATGCAAATGTAAAGTAAAGCTAAATTCAGCTGTAAACATGTTAGAGTTCTGCATGCTCAATAAATGAAAACGCGCAAAATTTAACAGCATAATTCATAAAAACACTGAAAATGTTTTCAAGTTTTCAAAAGTCTCCTTTCTGGACAGCGTTTTTTCTTTTCCATTTTCTGTGACTGGAAATGCTGTTTTCTCGTGGACAAGAGGGGAAAAAAGCAGGGAAAAACTATGTTTTAAGAATACCCAGATACTTATGGACAGGGTCTGAAAAACCCCTGACACAGCCGACTGATACACACCACTTTTTCTCCTTTTTGTTCCCCTAAAGGTAACATGATGTACAAAAAGGAAGTCTGGAAATAGTAAGACTCTCGGCACTATATAAAAAACTTTTTTTTTTCTTTTGTTGTCGTCTTCTTCCTCTCCTCTCTTACTTCATGTGTCAATAAGAAAACAATGCACTTATCCATAAGGAGCTTTCACTGCGTTGCTTGTTAGGCAGCCAAGGGGTAAAGTGATGGAGAATGGAAAAAAAGGGGGCTTTAGGGGGTGTAAGGCCAGGCAGTGCTCTGCCTCAGCAGCTACGGGACAGGGAAAAAAAGTTTGTTCTCCTCTCTATCCGCTGTTCCAGGAGCCCTGTGGAGGCTGGTAGACTGTTGCTTTTGAAAAACAGAAGCCCAGCAGTTTGTAATTTCATAACTGCACAATGTACAGCACACTACTACAATAATATTCAACAGAGAAACCTTGAAAGGAAATAGTAAGGGGAAGAAAATGTATAGACGAAATGACCAAAGGGATGCAGACGGTTCCGAAATCAGTCCTGGTTTGGAAAAGAAATAGAAAGCTTCCCCTTGGCTAGACCCCAGGTCCTGTAGATGGTTCAGGCTGACGCAGGCAGTCTGTGTGGAGCAGGGAGAGTCTATTCCCTTCACGAGGGGGCGGGGGCGCGAGGGGGGCGGGGGCGCGGGGGGTTGGAGTGGGGCATGGCTCAGTAGCCTCACCAGGGGGCAGAAGGCACCATCAGGACCAGGAGTAAAGGAGTCCATGCTAAGTTTGATGGCAGACTGTGCACAGAAAGCTGTCCACTCTTCGCCCGCACACCTACGGATATAGAGAGAGACTCATTACAGGATACAATCAATCACTGCAATTCACAGCTCATAATGTTTGCATTTATAACACATTCTTAATGGACCTATTATGAGCATTATCTATAGTTGCTGAGGTTTGCTGAAACAAACCAAGGCAGAAACCGTGCATAAGCAAAATGTGCTTTTTTTAATTTGATGCTCTAACACAGCAAAAGGGAAAAGAATAATTTAGCCGTATTTTCTCCAAAGTGCCTTGTTAGTTCTACTGTCCAAATGATAGTAAACTTTAAATTTGTCTTGTCGCTTGAGCACGGAGGGGCCCTTAATTGGCTGCGCTGCGGTGTAGGTGCGCAGAGAGAAGCTAATTAAAGAGGCATTAAGCTAAAGCAACTCCTGCAGTGGCTGCTCTAACTCAATTAAGGCTAGTGTGGCAGCGCTGGGGAGAGAGGGAGGGACCCTGTCACTGTTCCACCAGCAAAGTGTGGGTTCCAGTTGCCTGAAACAAAGGAACTCGAAAAACGAGCCCACGTTATCACTGGCTTAAAGGGCGAATGATTATGTAACGGGATGTGGGTGTTCTTTAACCTAGCCTCCTTAGCTTATCCGGCTGAAGTTTACAGAGCTTTTATTTTGCACCTTCACAATTATTCTCTCTCTTGTTATCTCTCCTGATTAAATAATGGAGCCAAGACTAATCTCAACACGTACTGAACAGCGATGGCCCATAACAAGATTCTCTTTCTTGTGCTACAACTGCAAAACTGGCCACTGTCAATTAATGTCACCGGTTTATGCATCATTATCTTGTACATGCTATAGCTATGAATAAGCACAGGTTTTTGGGTGGCATTCTCCTCCATTTTCCCTTACATTACATTAATAAAGCTTAATAAACTTATGCATCCTGAGTGCTGGTACTCTGCTAAAAGACATGCCCTTTTAAATGAAACCTGACCCCATAGACATTAACACTGACATAGAATCATGTGAACAATGAAACACACCCCATGAATTGTTCCATTTTTTGGACATATATGGGTCAGTATTTAATTTTCAGTTGAACAGTATGTATAGATAAACATTAGGTAATGATTTGCAATGATTTATTAAAATAAAAAAAAAAACAAATAAATGTCATTTGTTCTGTTAAAAAAGTAAGGACACTCTGGCTTCAGTAACTGGTGCTGCCCCGTTTGGCAGAAACAATTTAATGCAGGTGTTTCTACCAGTTTCTGACATCTACTGGGGGAAATTTGTGCCCACTCCTCCATGTAGAATTTTTTAAATTGTGCAATGTTTGAGGGGTTCCTTGCATTAAAGCACATTTCAAGCTGACAAATTCAAATTGACAACCTGCAGATTCTGTGGTGGAATTCTGGGGATCTTAGAGACCGCTGGTGTCTTATGGTCTGCTCTCAGGTTAAATTGGCTGGGGTAGACTGGGCTGGACAAGTTGGTAGGGATTTTAAATCTTCTCTGCTTGTAGATGATCTTCCAGAAGATGGAATGACTGTTTTCCAACACAATGAAAAGCTTCTTAAACCCTAAAAGGACTGAGGCATCTACAACCTCCTTTCTGAAGGCCTCAGCTCTTTTGATCTCAACATGATGATACCATACACTCCAATATCAAAGTGCAAACCAGACCACATATCTCAGGTATTCTCTAATCATTAGAACCTGATCAGGTGCATATGTATGTTTTTTTTTGTGTGTGTGTGTGTGTGTGTGTGTGTGTAAGGAGACCCACCTGAGGAGGTGAGCACTCTGATTTGGGAGCTGGCAGCTCCCTCACCTCCCTCGCTGACAGCGCGCACCTCAATGATGTATGTACCTCCTTCAGGAAGCACCAGAACGGCTGCTGAGTTCGGGGTCCGCATTACCTGGCTGTGACCCCGCCCCTCCTGGCGCAATAACACCTGTAAGAAAACACAGTGAACACACGCAGGCCTTCATTACTGTCCTTCATTAGTCTAGTTTTAGTTGACCAAGGACCATCATTACTGCCCTCCATTAGTGACCTTGCTGTCTGACCACACATAACTGGACTGTAAAGGTGTTTGGACCTCACCTTGTACCCAATAACGTCAGACTCGTTTTCCATTGCCTTCACTGGATCCCAGGATAAGGACACATTGTTTCCCTCCTGAATCCACATCACATTGCTTGGTGGTTGGCTGGGAGCTGGAGAGAAAGAGAGAGAAGCTTTAAAGGTTTTAAGAAAAGAATGGCACAGTTTTATATTTCTCACTCGTACCTCTTTAAAATTATGTCACAAGTGCAGATTCTAACTTTCAATCGATATTACATTTGTATTAATGAGTAGAAGAGGAGATTTATTATGTTTATCATGATTTAATCACATAACTATGTAATTAATCATGTTGTTATTACATATACATCATATAGTTTTGAACACAACTAACTGCAACTAGACAGAAAATGAGCAAAATTCCAAATAATCCATCAAATCATTCACCCACAACCACACAGCCAGTTAATGCATCATCTGTTGGTCCATTCATCCATCCATTCATCCATCCAACTGTCAATTTATCCATCTCCTAGCAATAACTTAACTCCCCATCCATTGGATCATGGAGGCATTGCAGGGGTTTGTGAGACTGTGATGGAAATGCTGCTGTCAAACCAAATTAAATTTAAAAAATATTATTTTGTATGTGTAGAAAAAAGAAATTCAACATTTATTGTGATCTCATAAGTGCAAATAGCCACAGAATTGAATGTTTTAATAAATAATGATCCAGTAAATAATAAATAATCGGTCATAGAGTGTAAGAAATGTTATATTCATATGTGTAAATCTATCTTAGCAGCAAAACCATCGTAATGTGTGATGTTTTTTAAAAAGCTTTATCGAAGTATGAAAAGAGTTATAAATAAATGTTATATTTCTCTGTAATGCTAATCCAGGCAGATTTGGTGCCAATTTCTACATTTTATAAATGTTTGTGCATCCCTAATTTTTCCCCCTTGTGATGTCAGCACTCATTAGAGCTCAAAGCTTTGGTGTGGGCCAAAAGACTTTTCATAAGTTTCTGAACTATAGTTTAAAAAGATCTTTAAAGATCTTCAAAGCACTGAAGATACTGAGGACAATTCTGTGAAATATGCCAAATTTTTAGCAAATAACTGTTTTGTGTTAACAAAGCTTTTGCAGGTTTTTTTTCTTATTTAAAAAGTACCAGTGATAAAATTCTAATTTCAAAAGAAAGTAAGGTATCACCAAACGTTTGATGGGCAGTCTATGGCTGATACTAACTCCACAGTGTTCTCAGTGCTAGGTATGTATAGACTCACGGTTTTTCTTAGTGGTGGCTCTGACAGAGGCGCTGGGTGGGCCCTGGCCAATGCTGTTGAAGCCTTTGACTGTGATCAGATACGCCGTGTTTCCATCCAGGCCGGACAGCAGAATGACTGTCTCATTCCCCACTGTCCTTTTCTTCTTCCCTGACTCCTCCTGTTCCATGTCCTTCCAGTAGCTCACCTGTGGAGAGATGAAAAGCATCAGTCTCTCCCTATTGGAGTCACTGAGAGACACGGAGGGCGAGAGAGATTGAGGCGCACTGATGAGGCTGGGTGAATGGGGAAGAGAGAGTCTGCCACTTCTTTATAATACTGTATCATTTGGTTTAAATAACTGTCATGCATTTTGCATGAATAGTGTAATAGTCGAGCATGTAATATCCCTCCGGCTATGAAAGGGGATAATTCCTCTCCTGAGGACACAATGGTGCAGTTCCCCTTTATAGAATAATCTTTCTTTATTCAGACCACACAAAAGCTGATTCGTGAAAAGATACTGAGAGGCAAACTCCAAAAAAGTCTATAAAACATTTAGACAAAAATGTGTAGAGCTGCATTCAAAGGTGTGACTTTTCACATGGTCATTCAAAAAACTCTGACGGACTTGGGAAAAGATTTTGAGAAAAAAACTACAAAGCGTATTCACTCGATACGTAAAAGCACGCTAAAGCTCACAGATTCATTCAAATGACTCTTGGTGGACAGTACATATACTTCATTACTCTAATTAAGACTAAAACTAAAAACTCCAGCAGCACTGCTGTGTCTGATCCACTCAGACCAGCACAACACACACTAACACACCACCACCATGTCAGTGTTACTGCAGTGCTGAGAATGATCCACCACCCAAATAGTACCTGCTCTGTGAGGGTCTATGGGGGTCCTGACCACTGATGAACAGGGTAAAAGGGGGCTAACAAAGTATGCAGAGAAACAGATGGACTACAGTCTGTAACTGTAGAACTACAAAGTGCACCTATATAGTAAGTGGAGCTGATAAAATGGACAATGAGCGTAGAAACAAGGTGCTCATAATGTTATGCCTGATCGGTGAACTTTCGTCAAGCATCTTTGTTAAGGTTTTACCATTTTTGATACTTTTACTTTCATTACAGTACATTTCAAAATAAAATACCCACTTTTTTCTCTACTACTTTCTGCACAAATGTGTAATTTTTTTTCTAACATAATATTGTACAGAGAATGCATACTTATTTTTACTTGATCGGTGGTTTCAAACGTTTGCATCTGACTTGAATGTTTAATTTGTGTTTTATAACGTTGCTGTCAAACAAAAACTGATTTTCACTTTTTTGACATAATTTGAAAGTAATTGTGTGTAAACTTCATGATGAATGGACCAACAGAAACGGCCCAAAATGACTTGGAAAAAAGTCTGGTTCCATTGACTTACATTAAAAGTGAAGTATGTTTTTTCCTTCTCCTGTAATGTTACCATTTTGGAGATACGAGGTTTTGTTCCGACAGCAGCGATATTTGATTTTGTTTTCTATTTAGAATGAGTGTAATAATGAACTTAAACTGGAGACTTATTCCCATTCTCACTGTGACGCATTCTATGAGGTATAGCTGGGCTTAACTTAGAAACATTTGCTAAACTGAAAACTCAAGAGGAGATATGTGGGATCTTGATTGAACAGTGTGGAAGATCACACAGAACAGGCGCATCGAACTTTTACTCATGCATTATGCTACAAAGAGTTTCTGCACTTTCCCTCAAGTACAGGAGTTGTGTACTTTGTCCACCCACTGCTCACCTCATATCCCTCAGGTCTTCCAGGGCCAGGGCTGGGTGCCTTCCACGTCACCTTGATTTCGGAGGAGGACATGCCAGACACTTTCACCTCAGTGGGGGCTTCCCGGGGCTCTGTGAAAAAGCAGCGACATGTCAGGCAACCTCGCTGGGAAACGGCCGCCCAGCACTGCGCTCTGTGCCCAGCATCACTGCTCCACAGGCTGAAAAATTACAGCTCTCACCAGGCAGCTAAAACACATGTACAATCACATCTCTGTACGCGGCTGCTGATGACGTGCTTAGCACTCAAACTCTAACAGCCGCTCTCCGCGTTAACACGCTGAGTGTGGACGATGGGCGGAGGTGTAAATTATCAGACAGCGAGGGGCAGCAGTGTGGTGGCAGAACGGAGGAGCCGTGCTGAGCTGAACGTCAGATCAGAGCGGAGGACGTCAGTGAACTGACAGAAACACAGCGTCTCCATCACGTTAGCATTGCTCATGCACAACGAGGCCACCAATGATACTACACCACCACTGGGCACTTGGATCCTTCAGAGTGAGCACCTACAGTCATGCATCTTCCCACAGTTTTACAGGTTAGGTTTAGATTTCTGATCAAAGGTTTGGAGTCACTGTTCAAATGTTTGGTATCAATATACAGTTTGAAAACCCCTGGTCGAATCACACATTGTGTTAACACATCCTCTACAAAGAACAAACTTTGTTCTGCAAATTGAAGTTCCCAATTTGATTAGTTTGACTAAAACATATTGGAAAGATAATAGAACATAAAATATTAAATATGCCATAATACAGGGTGAGTCTAAAAGATTAATCCGATTTCAAAATGATTGATTTCTCTTGTAAATCATTACAGAACAATGCAGTAAACTGTAAATGGTTTAAATGAGCATAAAGTTTATTATGTAATTGTACAAGGTCTCAGTATGAACCTCCTCCAGCTGTACAGACAACATCAGCGCCACAGTCAAATTCATCCCATACTGGATTGAGCATGTCGGGTGTCGCTGCACTCACAGCTCTTTCAGTGCGATTTCAGAGATCATCCAGTGTTGTGAAACCAACAACGAACACTCTGAGCTGTTGGAGGTTCACTGGCCACGAAAATCACCCTGCACAGTTATGATGGATTCACTCTTATTGAAGTGGAGAACGCAGAACGCTTTCTGCTCAGGGGTCTCATCTCCTCTCAGACTGAAGAATCTCTATGACCCCCTCTTTCAATTGGATTGTAATTGGTTCCTAGGAGCCTCATGGTCGTAAAAATATGGCACTTTAAATTCGGATTAATCTTTTTGAATCACCCTGTATTTGCCCAAGCCACATTTTGTGTTTATTTTTTTCTGATTTGTCAAATTCAGCAAATAAATAGTAGTGGTGCTTTAAAGTTACAGTTTCTCTGTAGTGGATGAGTACTGATGAAAACATGATTTGACCAGAGGCATCCATTACAAAGCCAATTTGATAGTAGATAAATGTATAAAATTGCACCCGAATATACCAATCCTGTGCAACTTCACAGGTTTCCAATAATGCGTAGGTAACTAGGAAGATGTAAAGAAGGTAACGCAATTTTAAAGTGTCCAGAGTGATGAACAGAAATATAAATGATTCTAAACTGGAAGAATAAAGTTCTAATAAAATTAAATCTACTATGCATCCTGAGCTCCAATCTCAAGACAATTAACTTCATATAATGGAATGGTTTGGCAAAAAATCAAAATTACCCAATTTTCCATTTACCCCAGATGCAGTTGATCAGTCAAGACATGTTTGGTGTCCAAATCTTCAGTTATGCAGCTAACATTGCTAACTAAAAGTCAATAGTCACTCAAATCATTTCTGTAAATACCTGCCCAAAGCTTCTCTAAACCCAGTCAAACAGCATTCAGCTCAGCAATAAGGTTGCACAGACTTGTGGATGTTGTTTAGGATGCATTATGACTTACTGTGAACTACAAAAATGAAAACCAAGTGTTGTGCTGAAATTTGATTCCCCTTCGTGTGTAATTAAAGGGACATTAACTTGCATTTGCGATTTTTTTTATAAGTAACTTAATGTTTAATATTCTAACTGACTTTTTGCAAAGAAGAGCCAGATCTGAACCCATACGCTGAGTGAAGTGCACAACACAAAGAGGAGGAGTCAGAATTCGGGACATCACAGTTGTTTAATGTGGCTGCCTGCAGTGTTCAGCTACATGGTGAGGTTTTGTTTATAGCTCACAGTAAGTCATAATCTGTCCTAAACTATATTGAATATTGTTCTATATAAGCGTTCTATATAGCAGCAAAAAGGGTTCTTCTATTTTTACAAGCTTGAAATCGTAACAATAGAAGAACCCTTTTTGGTGCTAAATAGAAATCTTTTCAAAAAGGTTCTACAGTGGATATAAAAGTCTACACAGCCCTGTTAAAATGCCAGGTTTTTGTCATGTTGTTATTTTTATTTTCCTCTAAATGATTTTAGTTTGTTTTTCAATGGGGTTGTACAGACTATGGCTCACACTGAAGGTGGAAATAAATCTGAAATGATTCATCTTGACAAAAACCTGGCATTTTAACAGGGGTGTGTACCCTTTTTATATCCACTGTAGAACCCTTTCCAAAAAGGTTCTATATAAAACCACATTACTCACATTCTCCATCAATCTGAAGAACGCTTTCACAATGCAAAGAACCCTTAATTACGCAAAGGGTTTTTTGAGTGTTCATGGTTCTACATAGAACCCTTGAAGCACCATCATTTTTAAGTGTATAGTGTTAGCAACATTAGCCTTGCAGCTTCAGGACTAAACTACAGAAGCAGAATTCAGACATCAAACATGTCTTGAGTGATTGACTTCATCTGACATCAGAGGAAGATTTTATAAACTTTTCCTTTAGCAGATAATTAAAGTACAATGTGCCACAAGATGTTCTTTGAGAGATGCCAATGAACCAAACAGATGTTTTGGCTTTTTAAAGGTTTAAAGAAGTTGCAAGGTTCTACACTCATTTACAGGTTCTTCCTAGATCCATCACATTATACTGAGGCTCTTCACACTCACATGTCTCATTGACAAAAATAATTCTCTGAAGAGATTTAAGAGTGTGGAATATTTATCAGGTGTCATATTTATCAGTGCAATCATTTGTCAATTTTTTGGTTTCTAAAATACTGAAAAGTTTGTAAAATCCAAATCTAGACTGTATAAGTTAATATTGTATATAAAATAACAAAAGTTATTAATAAGAGAAGAGATTTTAAAGTTTTAAACAATACTGTACAGTTTACTGTTACTTTTTGGGGCTGAGATGTAAATCAGATGCTCCAATATTACTGCATAAGCACTGCGTGGAAATAATGCATTATCCAACTTTTGCATAAATAAGCTTACTTTATCTTTTTCATGATGTTGAGACATTAACATAAAGTACAGCTCCTCTGGCTACTGCTTAAGAAATCTGTGGTGTATTGTTCTTTCTCCTTTCTATAGTCAAGATATATGTTAATAAAAGAAAATTATAAAGGCATGATCCTTCCTTCTGAAGGTAACATACTGCAAACAAGCAACTGCATTTTTAATAGCATATGCTACACCACTCATTCAAAAGACATTTACAAAGACGCAGAACAGAGATTAACAGCTGTGCTCCATGTTTTGACTGATGCCTTCTTCAGGACGGGGAAGCAGCAGTGGAGTCATATGTCATACGCCCTGCTATTTTTACTGACAGCATCAAAAGTCACGAAGCTTTTCAAAATGTTTTTCAGAAATGAGCCTGTTTTGTTGGTGCAATCGCTTTCCATATCAAACGGAAATCTGTTTGGATTGGTTTGGCTCTTCTTTCTTCACATATCTGTAAAACTTAAGGAAGAACTGACAAAAATACCAGCTTTTAAATAAGGCCAAGCTCAGTTTTTTTCCCTCGTGATGTCAGGACACAAACCTTTCAGGCCTTTAAGCTCTTATGCTTGTGGGTATATTTCAGGTTTTCCATCTGAATTTAAATGCCCAAATTGTAAGGTAAATTATTCAGTAACTGCATGAAATAAATTTACATTTTGGTTTTTTTTTTGTAAAAGTTCCCCTCAAATTAACAGAAAAAGTGTTTTATGCTCATAACCATAATGCAATATGCTTACAATTTACTGCTGAAAGCCAAAAATCGTAGATGCTCTTTGTATTTGTTTATAAAAATAATTTGTACAGAGCAGATCACTGAAGAGACGCCATCTGAGATCCAGTTTGTAGCTCAGATTTGTGGAAAAATGGGTCGACTTTCGGTAGAAAAAAAATTGAGAGTTCAGCATCTTTTATTGTAAAGTTTTAAAACTACATTACCGTCTATTTGACTGGAAAGAAGACAGTTATAGCTTTAATATGACACCCACCTTCTGAATGTAGCTTAGAAAATATGAGTTATGAAGTAAAGAATATGATGAAGTGCATTTTGGAACCACCAGAGGTTCCACAGAGTTAAAAAGGTTAAACCAGCTTTGGGCCATTAGGGCTTCGATATCTGCTTTTAAGCATACCTTTGAAAAGAAAACTGTCAAATCATTATTTAGGTGAAAGCTGCTCTTGATGAACATGAAGCTGAGGGTTGCAAAATTTAAATTTAAAACTTAAATTTAAGGTTGAACCAACATTTTTCACTTTCGACCATTTCTGGCTAAAAAACCTTGCTAAAAAAGGGAAAGATTAAATATGGCTACGCTTAATAAATATATTTAAATGATAAAGAAAATGAGACTAAAAATGCTGTTTATTCCGTTTGCTCTTCTAGTCAACACAGATATGTTCAAACAGTTTGAGCAGCAGCAGATCAACAGTGAAACACAAATGCATGGTCAGCTGCAGCTTCGACCTTCGCTCTATACAGCCTTTAGCTTACATGCGTTTTAGCAGTTACTAATTTAATTAAAACCTTTAAAGGAAATCACATGAAGAATACTGACTGTCTTTTATAGGATAACAGGGCTGGGCAGTATAATGATAATAATGTATACCGCAGTCTTTGAAAAAGACACTGGGGGTTAAAAATGTCGACATTTCAAAATTATGATGGGTCAAATTTCTATTCCACATCTGAACAGCTAAATAAACACATTCTATCCATTCATATTTTGGAGGTCCTCATTGGTGCTGTGGGAGCTTCCTGATAGTAAGGGGGGTAAAATCAGAGACAGGAAATACTTAAAAAAACTAAGCATGATAGCAGCACAGAACAGAAGAGCCACACACACCACAGACCAATTCAGCAGAGCTGTTTCTTCTCTAACTGACAAACACTAAAATGACTTGCCTGCTAATACCGCCCCCTGCAGGAGGAACTGGAGAGGATGCTAGACGGGGGTTCCAAAGCTACACATGCTTTATATATTAAAATGCTTTATATATTAAAATTCAGCATTAGATGTATTTAGGAAACCATGAAACATTAAAATATATAATTTTACATCTTTTAACATTTAATACTATTTGGGAAGTTGTTTAAAATTAAATTTGTCCTCTTGTTCTCTGCTAGTTCTCTTTCCCAACATGGCGATCATCACCTTTGAAGCATCAGCAGCATTATTAATGCTGTTTATTCAAAAGCGTAAATAAAACAGAAAACGATATTTAAAAGAACTCTTTCTTTTGGCTTTGGTTTTTTTCATGAAGTGTGTCTTGAATTTTGGTTTCTGTTTTAATTAAGATGTTTCATTTTGGTGCATCACTCCTTAAACTGTTAGCAAAGTCAAGTATTTTTTCTTCCATAACTGAAAATTAATCATGAAAATTGTAAAAGGTGTTGAAGTATCCCCAAACTTTTGATGGGCAGCTTACTGCAGTATAAGTAACTGGCCGCTTACCTCCTTCTGCGGAAAACACAGTGACCACTTTGCTGAAGGGCCCATCGCCTTTGTTGTTGTACACCCCCACCTTAACCTCGAAAGGGGTGAGGGGAGGGAATGTCTCATCCCTGTACTTGTAGGTGGTAGAATCCGCTGATGTCACCATCTTTTCCTTCCACCCCCGCGTCCCATTGGCTCGGAACGCCACAATGTATCCAAAGCCCTCCCCATTCTGGAATTCTTCTGAAACAGGCTGAGAGACGGAAAAGAAAAACATCAGCCACAAAACATTTTACATGCTAAAACTGCAGACCGCTGCCCTGAAAAGCATTAGCTTTAAAATAGCCTGAATTTGCAGACAGTCAGTGAACATCTCAGTGTTGAAAAGACATGAAATTGGAAAACGACTTCAGTAATAAGCAACTAGCTGAGGCTGGTAAAATGGAGGGAAAAGCGTCAATTCAGCAGGTAAGTTCTAAGGACTTTTGGGCAAAGGTTTATCAGCCCGCCCTATTTATCCATATTTGACTACAGGCCAAATCCACTTCTCGCAGGACTCGTCCAGGTCAATTTAGAGTAAAACGATAAGTCTGGCCTGTGAAATATTCAAGGTTTTACATCAATTTCCTCGCTCTGCTGGTGTTGGTTTAAGTCCAGTCCACACCAAGCTTGGAAATTGAATTCCCAAGAAAGTAAATTAAACATTCTGCCTGTTACATCACATTTAAATTGAGACAACTTACCAGTGACATACAGTCAGAGACCACCCTTCGTTTGTTTAACTTCCAGTCAAAACAGGCACTAATTACAAGATGTTCATTCGGCATCAGAAAACAAAAGTAAAACACATGCTGCAGCCCAAAGTATCTTCAAATTATTAACTTCACTAAATTAATCACTAACAAACTTTCTGGTGATATTCAGTTGATTATCAACAACAGTACGGTTATGGTCAGGGTTAGGAGTAGGTGTAGGTTTTGCTTTGAGGTTAAGGTGAGGGTTAGGTTTAGGATTAGGAATAGATTTAATAAAATCTTTCATACTGAACTTCAAGTTCAGTTTCATTTGATAGATATTTAGTTGAATGTTGACAGACTGAGCATTTACAAAGCATCTACAGTGGACTGTCCAAATAGCACTCAACTTCACATTAAGTTGCAGTTAGTAGATATTTAGTTGAATGTTACTTAAAGATATACTGAGCATTTACAAAGAGTCTACAGTGGACCATCCAAATAAAGTGTCACTGATTTTATTCCAAGCCATTTTGAAGCATTTCTATTGGTCCATTCATTTTGAAATCATGCAAAGGGCAGCTGCTGTGCTCAAATGATGTTTAAAAATAAGAAAAACGGAGATATTTTTGGACAGCAAAAATATATTTAACAGAAAAATGCACAGAAAGCTCAATAGAAAAATATAAAATCAAAACTCAGTACTGAGTGTGACCAACTTTTGCTTTTATTACAGCTCCTATTGTTTTCGGTAGGCTTGCTTTACGTTTTTCAAACAATCTGCAGGTGTGTTCTCCAAAGTTCAGTCTGCTTCTCATGATCCAAGTATTCCCAAATACATTCAATAATTTTGAAGTCTGGGCTCCTGGATGGTCAGTTGACTGTTCTGAGAACATTAGCAGCTTCTTTGTTAGATTTTTACATTTTTTTTTTGGTTTCTCAGTAACATCTTCACATCTGTACATGCTTTCACACCTATAGCATTGAGTCATCCTCTCACAGTGGAGTCGTGGACAGAAACACTCTGATTTTTTATAATCTGAAGCAAGACTGGGGCTTGACTTTCTCCTCTCTCTCTCTAAAATGAAAGATTTAAGGCCTGTTTATCTGATGATGATAGATTTGCTGGTCTACCAGGTCTTACACAGTTGGTAGGAGTTTTAGCTGAGGCCTTTCTGAGGTTTACATAATTATAAATACTGTCAAAAATGGAGTACTATGATTTTTACATACACTCTCAGAAAAAAAAGGTATGAAACTGTCATTTGGTCAGATCCCCTCTTGTCACTGGGGTGGTACCCTTAAGGGTTCATCTCAGTACCTTTAGTCAGGGAACATAACTGTACCATAATCCACTGAAATGATATTCTCTAAGCTGTACTGACTCCACACACCCCGTCTCGTCTCCAGGCTTTTTATGTTATCGTTCTGTTTAAAAACATTCGGTTATAAAAAGGTACAAATATGTACTTTATCACCTGAGAAAAACTGGTCAGTCCAAATTTAATTAAAATGTGAGCTAGCAGAATTAAATCCTGGGCAAATTTAATAAATGACAAACTGGACCTTAAAACCATTGTTGTTCCTTTGAGGGTACATTTACATTGTTTGTACCTTGATGAACAAAAATGTACCTGCATAGAACCTTCATTTGTAACAGTGTACTTCACTGTACCAAATGTTATCTCTGTAATGAAACATGCCGTTGGTCAGTGTCCTTCAATCACTGACATCCACAATATGTTCAGAAAAGCATATTGTGATGTAATGTGACACTTTATCAGATCTGATTTGTCTGCAAGACAAATATTGTCATATTGCTCAGCCCTAAGTGTAATTAGTTACCACTCCAAGAAAGACAATTGTGGCATCCTCCAATATGGTGGAATTCCTACAGCCTAACAGGAGCTCGAAACTATGTACTCTAATGAACTATTTCAATCTGCATATTTTCCAGGCTAAATGACATCCTTTGTTACACTGGTGCTTGGAAAGAATACAATAAATGGCACGGCATCACGTCAAAATGTCAGGAAGCCCCTGATGGATTCTGGAGATTTTCAGTTGTAATGAAACAAATCACTCGTGAATGTCAAGCTCTTTGACGACGAGCTTGAGCGCATCAATTAAATATGCGGTAACCCGACGTGTGGATAAACTGCAGGGGTTGAGAGCGCTATTTGAATAACAAAACCAGCTGCTCCAATCTCAGTTGCTGGTTGCGAGCTAATGGAAGTGGTCCTATGAATCAATGGATCTAGAAAAAGCAATTTGATTGGACGGAGGGAAAGTGCTTTGTATTAGCCAGAGGTCTGTCACTGTTGGAAACCATCTGTGAGAGGCCATTATGATTACCCACAATGCCGAGCAGTTAAACTGGATTGCCTGCCCATCTCTCTGATTACAGAGGAACAATGGCCGTGCTGCAGAGACAATGGCACTATAAAGCCCTTTTCACGTAGCCTCTTCCTAATCAATTCAGAGCGAACTTTTTAGCTTCGGGAGAAATGAGCGGACGTGGCGTCTGGATCTGCTGTTTCTGGTTGCGCCGATATAAAATCTAAAATATTTACCAAGCCTTCTCTTAAAAGGGTCTCGTCGGATGTTTTTCCTAAACAGGTGATACCGGGGGCCGTCTACAACACCTGCTAGGTGTTTAATAGAACCAAAAGCAATTTATTAGTGGAGATAGAAATTTAATTAAAATGTGAGCTAGCAGAATTAAATCCTGGGCAAATTTAATAAATGACAAACACCTGTACTCTCTGTCTCTCTCCCCCCTTCCTGGCAGCGTATCTGTCTGTCATGGCGTAATGTGAGCGATTCACACATGCTTCCCAATAATCATGGCCCCTAAAGGTAGATGCCAAACGAGCGGCTTCGTGCTAAACTCCGCTAGGACGGATCGCCATGCCTGTCTAATTAACTTACTCCGAGTGTTCCTCGGAAACGAATTAGCTTCCATCAAGCTGACACGATTGGTTCTGGCTGAGGGTTTTCTACTGCGCGCCGTTTCAGACACAAACTGAAAACAGCTCAGAGAAAGAGCTTCTGCTTGGAAAATGGAGAAACACGTGTATCTAAATAGCTGTGCAACTGGAGGAGTAGAGAGATGAAGTCTGGCAGTACTAGAGCGGTGCTCCTAATGGTCCACTCCATCGCTCCTGGCTGCGTTTTTTCTCTCCTTGCAGATGTTAACGAGGAGGATTAGATAGGCCTGTTTAGACATTCATCCTGCTTAAAGGAATACTTCAAAAATCCAATTTGGATTTTTTTCCTCGTGCTTCAAATGCAGTTGATCAGCCAAGCTGGTGTCTGAAGTTTGCTTCTTTGTCTCATGCTGACTATAAGCTCATTTCACTCAACTGACCTTAAAATTCAAAGTGAGGGTAAGGTGGGAAAAAGCGACATCTGGTTCATGAACTACTTGTTCTTTAAAGCTGGTTCTTTTCAATGAACCAGTTCAATCGAATCAAATGTTTCTGTAGCATCACTGCAACTTTCTCAGCAAATTTTTCTATGCAATTTATTGTAAAATTGGGCAACAGCTCATGATTAGTAGCCCAGCAAGTTATCCTCCCTGAAGTTTGTGTGGTTTTATGCACCAAAAACAGTTTTTACATGACCAAATTCTCTTTATCCATTAAAATTAAACAGGCTGATTTTGTTGTTTTAAAACTGATATATGTGAATGAGCTCTGTTCTGATTGGCTGCCCTGTATTGTGCCTTCAAAATGCAGTTGAATCCTGAAACACCCCTTATAATTTCAGTGAGAATGGGCGGGGCTAAACTGTTGTATGCTTAATAGTTGGACATTGTAACGTAGGGGCTGATGAACCAGACAATTCACGTTATGTTACGTAAACAATGTTTTTCTATACTATGAGCCCCTTATGTAATGTCTAAAGTAAAGACTTGCTTATTCTGACCCTGTATGACACACTGTTGTATATAAAAACAAGTGTTTTGCACACATATAAACAGAAGCACCAGTCATCCCAAAGATTGAAATTTGTCTGTACCTTTGTCCATTGTTGCAGATCGGCTACTTGAGCAAATTTGGAGATTATGAAAATTATGCACATTTGATTTTTCACCAAACTACTGCTTTAACACATTAAATGAATGAAATAAAATGCCAGCAAGTCCTATAACTCAAGAATATCTCAACCAGTTTGCACATTTTTCCTGTAATTGCTGAATAAAAATCCTTAGGATGTAATAAGACTCATTTTTTTCAAGCATCTCAGAGTGAAATCAAGCCTCCTAAATTCGTGTAATCCAATTCAGTGCTGTGTAAAAGATGTAAACTGATCCCAGATCAGCATTGGTGCTCTGAGAAGTTAAAAAAATATGATCCCCGGATTCCGACATGATTAGAGAGGCGCTATCATGGCCTGCTGATGCTCCCTGACTGCCCAAGCTGTGCACTCCCCTTCACTCCATCTCCTTCATCATTCATCTGCACTGGTCAGACATGGAGAGCTGATTCACTGGCCCTAGTGGCATCTAACGAGACTGTGAATAACAGAACAGAGCTTCAAAACAACTTCGTGCAGAAAAGTTCCACAGTGGCTGGAACACAGTGTGCGAGTGCGCTGTGTGGACACTGTCATCTGTCATGCAGGTTCAGGTTATTTATGACTGACTTGTTATTCTAAATGTCACTGCCTCGAAATGCCATTTTGCGACTGACCTTGCTAATAGAGAAAATAACAACAACACAATACGTTTGGCCCAAATCCACCCCGGGGAGGTGCGTGCAGGGCCTAGAGGCATGCAGAGGGCATGTGTTGGTAAAGACAGCGAGATAGAGAGAGAGACAGAGAACAACAATAACAACAACACTTTGGAAGTGAAGTTTCCTCAAGGCAGGCATGCCTGCAACCAGATAGGGACACAAATAAAAGAGGCCTGCAGGAAATAATATGACATTCTCAAATGATATATATGACAGTCTGGATTCAACAGAATACACCCAGCACCAGCTAAGCCTATCCTGAAATGACCTCTCCTCCTTTTACTTTTACTGATAATGCAGTCAGTGCAGACACACAGTGAGGGCGGGCAATATGATAACATGCTACCATCATTGCCAAGTTTATCTGGCTTCAAAACCACTCATTTAAATCTGCCGCTACAGAAGTTATGCTGTGTTCATGCCATCCTATCAATTTCAGAGTAAAGAGGCGGAGCATTCCATGTTGTATCATGTTTTCTACCAGTGTGTAAAAGATGCACAGGGCTTCATCTGGTGTTTGATGCACACAGGGGGTGCAAGTGTGAGCGCAATGGCAATTAATATGGTTAAAGGACCTCTTAGACTAAAAAAGTTTCAAAACTGCTGCTTTACATATCAAATAAGTGCAACAGCAGCATTCATTAATCACATTATTAATGGAAAACAGTAGATAAAGAGCAGAAATATCCATTTTTCAATAACAAAGACTGCCTCTTTTTTAATCTGACATGCAGGAATCTCTCGTGTTGCTGAAAAAGTTAGCACTGACGTGGACGAGGCCCATACTTGTGAGAAAATGGACACAATAAAACAGCAAATTAATCAGGAGAGGACAGTTTGCTGCAGCCAAAAAAAGTTTCTGTTTAAAGCATTTGGGCCCAAAATATTGTTGAGTTATGTGTTCAATGGGTTATATGTAGTATGGAGTGAATTCCAACTAATTTTGAAATAGTGGATCTGTAAGAGATCATGAGGCACAGGAATGAGGAAAACAAACAAACAAAAACAAAACAAAAAAATAAACTTTGGCCAAAACTAATTTAGGGCTTACCTTTTTAGGTGGCAGCACTGGTGTTGCACAAAAATATAGCAGCAGGCAGCGGAACATCTGGTAATTATTCAAAAACAGCTAATGTTTTGAATCAGAATTGAAATAAACAGTGTCACACTGGATGCTGATGAGGTACATGAAGTATTTTCTCCTCAGTGGACGATATTTTATTGTTTCTGCACCTTAGTTAGCCTAGTTAGCAATAAAATGCAAAGCTTTCTCGCGATGAAATGTAATGAATACCTGAACAGTGCATTCAGTATTCGAACACTGGCATTATGGAGAGTTTATCCAGAATAAAACCCTTTGAGAATGAATTCATTAACACACATTTTAAACCTAATTTTGTCACAAAGCACAGCTGATCATTTCATTATATCATATTACGTTATAGATTTTTCATTTTACTTTATTTGTCTTTATCTAACAGCAGCTATAATTGTGGCTACATGGTAATTTAACCTGCATCATTAGAAATATCAGGTGCCGCACAGCATGAAATTAGTGCATTATGGAAAGTTTATCCAGATTAAAAAACTTTGAGATATTAATCAATTCATTAAAACAAAACTGAAACTTAATTTCTAATGTCACATATCACAGCTGATCGTCTCATTAGAGCACATTATGCTACACATTTTTCATTTTACTTTGTCTCTGATCTAATGGCAGCTATTATTGTTGCTACACAGTAATTTAGCACTATAGTTCGAAAAATATCTTTTTTTTTTTTTGTTGTTGTTGTTGGGTCAGTTAATTTCAGTCATAATTTTAAGGGTCCGTTCAGTCTCAAAACTTGAGCTTGGACAAAATTTTGTCAAACTCAGGTCAAGTTCGGAGTCAAAACTTGGAGCCGTGGGTTGGGCTGTATTTGTGTTTGGACCAAAATTTCAGGCCTGATTTAAAGTTCTTCACAATCAAATCATCGGTATGAATGGCAATCCATGGCACAGAACTTGTTGAACACAAATGGTTTAAGGGGCTTCTGTAATTGAACTGTCACAGCATAAGAGACATTAAAATAATGATTATACTGTATTCACAGTATCGCATTTCTCAGGGGATTTTAAACACCAGCGTTTGGGGCAGAAAATGAACATCCCACTCCATCTGGAATGAGCTCTCTCTCTTTTAATCTCTCACTAAGGTGCAGTTCCCTTCACATGAAGGTTATTTGGCTGGTGACAGTTGGGGCCTGCATACTTAATAACTGCAAGAATAACCATCACTTACAGACCACATCTGTTCCTCCCTCCCCGGTTAATCGTACTTCTAACTGCCCTCATTTTGAGATCCTCCAGCTTTGTTCGTTTTTTTAATGCGTTCGTCTGCACACGGCCATCCCCACCGCTGCACTCGCTGCCAAAGGTGCTCTCTCCACTGACAAGCATTTCATGCTAATATCCCCTTAACATGGTGGGAGACTGATTAAATTTTGTCCAAGCTTTGTAAAGGGGGAGACTGCAAACAGATGTTCCAAACACATCTCTGGCATTACAGGGGAAAAGCTGCTTCAGGAATGAAGGTTAATTATTGTGTACGCCTCTCTTGTGTGACCAAAGTCCTAATTTATTCAGCAGTAGCACAGTCGTGCTGCCAACAGGAAGACAATGCATCACTTCTCCCAAGATGCATTCAGTAAATCATTTGTTTTTTTGATGAAAGTTCCTTAAAATTTGAAGTTTCAAGCCATTGGGAATGTTTTGGACGAGTTTACCATGAAGTGTGCAATTGAGGAACTTTAGATGCCAATGAAAGTGTCCAAGCCAAGCTTGTCTACTCATATCATAACAGGGAAAAATGACACAAAAGTAAACGACGTGTGTTGATGTGCTTTTTATGCAGGGAAAGCAAAACCGGATTGGGTCTCATTGGGATCACTTTTTTGGTGAAAAGATGTAAATGGAGACCGTCCAGAGTAAATTCGGATACGATCACAGAGCACATGTAAACACTCTTAAAGACACAGACACTAGTTAACAGGCCATTCTGCTAAAAAATAATACCAATTAAAAGAATAAACACTACAAAGAGTTTCACCAACTCACGTTAGCTGAAGCTCTGCTCATGGCTCTGCTTTGGTTTGGAGCTCTGAGCATTAAAATGACTGAACAAACTACAAGATCACCCATGATGCCTAATCTGAAGAATGACAGTGTAAATGTGTACGTTTTACAAACTTGACATTGTTTTCTTTTTTCTTTTTTTCTTTTTGCCTGTAAAACTCAATTTTAAAAGGGCCTTAAGACTTTAGACACTGTGCTAGATAAACTAAATTTGAAATATTGAAATATCTGTAGTTCTAAATAGAAACTGAATCTGTCTGTAATTTTGTCCTGATTTGTTAATTTTCTTAAAATTGCTTCTTATCCCAGTTTTATCATGTCGTCATATTCTGTACGTAAGAGAACTTAAAACACCGCAAATAAAAGTATCCAATTTAAGTCAAGAGCTATTTTCGTTTTGCTATATTATGCAAAACTATTCAAAGGCTTTTATATTCTTTAAATATTAAAAGTTTGGGCACCCCTCAGCAAATTATATGTTTAGTTGCTTTTCTAAGTGGAAATAAGTCAACATGTCCTCTACAGAGAACACATTTCTGCACATTTTAATGCATGATTGACGTCATTTGCTGAACTTTATTGAAAACTATATTGGAAATCAACAAAATAAAATGGTCTGTGCAAAAGCTTAAAAATTGTATATTTTATGTAAATGTAAACTGTGCGCTAAAATTTGCATAATTGTGTTTCCTTTACATCATGTGTTAACTTGTATGTATGATGAGATGTTGAAAATGCAAACAATTCAATTAACATTCAATCCAAATGTTCTATAACAACGAGTTTAAACCTGACTTTTCAGCTTGTTTCGGTGTTAAAATGACAAAAATGTAGCAAAAATCTAAAGGATGCTCATTTTTACCCAGCAAAGCCAGACTTTACACAACAGTGTGACACACAACTTTTCATTAAGTTTAAATTAAAATAAAACATCTCCACTTTCACACAAATGTGGTATTAAGACATAGAAAGATGTGGTAGAAAGTTTAAAATTCACACTTACTCTTGCTTGAGCTATGAGTCAGAAATAAAAAAACACTGAATTACACTTGCTTTTGTTGTCGCTGACAATAACCAACTTCCCTGGGTTAATATTTCTGATGGATGCACTGAATATCATAGCCAGTAATAAACCAGCAACATCGACCAACGTTTTTTAGTGGAACAACAGTATCACCACAATAATCAGGACCTGCAGTCCTCCTTTAAATACAGCCAATTTCATCTGTTCCAAGTGGTTCTGAGCGACTCGCAGTGATCATTTGAGTTGGAACCTGCGAAAGCAGCAATTATGCCTGGCCACAATTCTGAACGCTGAAGTCAATTAGCAGCAAGAATCCATTTGGACAAGAGCAGCAGGCCTTTTATGCCACAGCCATTAGCATAGCATGAGCTCGCTGTGGGGGGGACGCATGGCTGATGGCAGGCTTACCTCCCAGGATATGACAAGCTCGTGTCTGCGCCCGTTCCCTCCGCTTACGTTGGCTGGAGCTACTGATGGAACTGCAGACGAGAGGAAGAAGAAAAAAGGAAAGCACAAATTTGTAAAGTGTGATTTATCGTCTGTATGCGAACACCAGCAGTGATAATAATGATTTTCAGTTTAAGTGGTATTTGTTCAATAAAACCTTTTTCTATTGTACAAAAGTGATTCAAAAAGATTAATCTGGTTTCAAAGCGCCATATTTTTACAACCATGAGGCGCCGAGGAACCAATTACAATCCAATTAAAAGAGGGGGTCATAGAGGAATGTCAGTGGAAGACGGCTCCCTTCAGTCTGAGAGGAGATGAGACCCCTGAGCAGAAAGCGTTCTGCGTTCTCCACTACAATAAGAGTGAACCCGTCATAACTGTGCAGGGTGATTTCCATCTGCAGTGAAGCTCCAACAGCTCAGAGCGTTCGTCGTTGGTTCCACAACACTGGATGATCTCCAAAATCGCACTGAAAGAGCTGTGAGTGCAGCGACACCCGACATGCTCAATCCAGTATGGGATGAGTTTGACTATGGTGTTGATGTTGTCCGTACAGCTGGAGGAGGTTCATACTGAGACCTTGTACAATTACATAATAAACTTTATGCTCATTTAAACCATTTACAGTTTACTGCATTGATCTGTAATGATTTACAAGTGAAATTAATCATTTTGAAATCAGATGAATCTTTTTGAATATCAACAACAAGAGCTGTCTCAAATGGTAACCAATGGAACTTCTAGTTCTAGGTCATTTTCCACCTGTTCGAGAGACAGCTGAAATCATTATAATGACCTCAGTTAATGATTATCTTTTGGGTCATTTTATTCCACTCTAAACGATCTAATATGACCAATTAACTACCTTGCTTGCTAATAAGCTTAACTAATTATCAGTTTTCTGGTGGCAAAGGTACTTTGTGCAGTGGAAAAACATTTAGTTATCTGCATCGCATGTGACTGGCTGGGTGTTACAGTTTCATTTGAATAAACATCTCAAAAAACATGAATGGTAAATAAAGCCATAGGGTCAGACATGGGCTGGACGTTAGGGAACCAGCCTTGTGACCGGAAGGTCGCCGGCTCGATCCCCTGAGGCAACAGTACGTGACTGAAGTGCCCTTGAGCAAGACACCTAACAACCAAATGCTCCCTGGGCGCTGTGGATAGGGCTGCCCACCGCTCCAGGCAAGTGTGCGCACTGTTCACTAGTGTGTATGTGGTGTTTCACTGCACGTATGGGTTAAATGTGGAGTTGAAATTTCCCCTGTTGTGGGACTAATAAGTGTTACTTAATCTTAAAAAAAAAATCTTTTTGGAAATCTACTTTTTGCTTAATTTTTCTAATACTGTAAAGTGTTTCCTACACACAGCCGCACACAGTTATCCTGACGGCCACCGAAGTATGTTTGTTCCACTTGGACAAACACTAAACATGCTATAACATGTCTGTTTGAAAAAAATGAACAAAATGAATTTCATAGTGTTATAAATAAACATAACACAGAGTGTCACTGATGCAAAACATCACTCTTTTTCCATGTGGTCATCTCCCTGACCTAAACTTTACAACTAGACTTTCACTTAAAAGAAGCTTTTGTTTATCCAATTTTATTGTTACGATAATGCTAATTTATGCTAGCACCTCTTGGGGATTTCCCTTGTTATGTCAGCTTACTTGTTGCCTTATTTGAATACCTGATTCAGTGAACAAATGCTATGAGTTTGAACATACATGTATATATATTTAAATATGCCTGCCCCATATTTGTTTCAGACCTGTGGTAAACACAGCTGTGCCAGGCTACCTTTGGTGTAACTTTATAAGAATAAAAAACAAATAAATCCACTGAAAAACGTGAGGTTTCTTTAAGTATAAGGTACTATTACTCCAGAAGAATAGGATGCAACATCAGAGCAATGTAATTAAGGTTTTGCCTTTCAGTTTCCACATGACATCATTTGTTGTATTGCCTTTCATGTTGTTTCACAGCTGAGATCTGGCAAAGAATCTTCTTCACACTCCAGCAGCAAAACATTCATTTTGTAATTGTATAGTAATAAAGAGGTAAAGTTCTAAAAGGCTAACCAGTGGTCTTCAGTGGTCTTCGCACTGCAGTGTAACATAATTGCTTTCGGGTTGTAAGTGAAGACTACGCAGTGATTCTTTTCAAGATGCATGATTTGCTTTCATGATTAATCATAAGGTTCGAAATTCCAGTGGTATGTAGGCTTTGATGATTCCATTGTTTACTTTAGGCTAATTAATGTCTTTTTGGCAGCTGATGTGAGGGAGGTTCACCCACGGTCGTCTCAACTGTCGCTTTCTTACAAAACTGAATCTCTGATTTGCTTAGCAAACAGAAAGTGGCAGCTCACGTGTCTAAGGGAGAAAAAGGTGGCAGAGCAAACGCATTCACTCAGAGAATATCTGACAGGTGGTCCCAGATAAGTGAAAACAACAAGGGTAGCAAAACTGCACGCATTCCAAAAAGCACTGACCTTGACGAATCCAGGACACAAAGCATATACGGATCATTGATCTAGCCTATGGTGCAATCTGTGCAACTGGTATAGACAGTATCCGCTGTAAAAATCCATTGAATGACACCTGTTTTCTATTTTTGGCGAGTTCTGTTGCCCTTGTATGTGCATTTGTTCCAAACAGTGGTGAGGCAATGTTTTTTGTTCTCCATAAATAGATAATTCTGCAGTTTCTTGGCCTGCAGGCACAGCTGCCTTAACTCAAACACCAAACTCATTTAAATTCATGTAAGCGGCTTATTTTGCACTTCTCCTCCAATTAAAACAGAATAGGGTCACAGTGGGAACGCATGCTGGTCATAGGCCGCTGTAAGAATGTGTCACAGCCCGATTTCAGATGCATAACTACACATTCCCTCGAGTGTTACAATATAAACACTGGAAATGGTGACTACTGTGCTCAGCTGGAGGGCGTCTCGCTCGACAAGGATAAGATTCAAGATACTATTTGCTTCTGCTCTCCAGTGAATTTCGTTTCACTGCTGTCATGTTTGTCCTACTGTAATCCGTTTAATTCTGTAACAGAACATTTTCACTGTGGCCTTTAGCCCGATATAAGAAAACAAATACATGTTTTAGAGCGCTACCACTCTTCCCTCCACACGTGATATTTGTGACAACAAATCTGGCAACACACTCAATTTAGAAGGGACAAAGCAGACAACAGAACTGACACTGTTGTGACAACAAGTTGTCATGTTGATCACTGACTTGTCACAGTAGGAAACGACAGTTGTGGCAACTTTTAAGACATTTAATTGACATTTCTAAACAACGCTGGCTCTGTTGTTAGTTTGAGTACTTGCTAGGAGATATCCTCTCTATCATGAACAGACGGAACAGTTTTCTTTTATTCGACGTTTCCTAACGTTCCCTCTGCTGCACAAGTTCTGACCACTGCTACTGTTGGCATATGAAGAGTTCTGTCTTCACTGAACATAACGCACCACAGATGTGATAACACTTCCAGAGGTGTTGCAGAAATTATGCAGACAAAAGGAAACTGTCATCGCAGTCAGATTTTCCATGATATCATTCTGTTTGTGTTTTGTTCTTTTTTTACCCTCTTATTCTCCAGGGTATATTTTGGTTTGTCCATCTGAATTTACGTGACCAAATCGTAAGGCAAATTATTCAGTAACTGCATGAAATAAATGTAAATTTTTATTTATTTATTTATTTATTTTTTGTAAAAGCTCCCCTCAGATTAACAGAACATGTGTTTTATGATACACATATTGCTATAGGCTTACAATTTACTGCGGAAACCAAAAATCTTAGACGCTCTTTGTATTATTTTATAAAAATAATTTGTACAGAGCAGATCACTGAAGAGACGCCATCTGTTTATAGTTTATAGCCCAGATTTGTGGAAAAATGAAGTGAGTTCAGCTTCTTTTATTATAAGGGTTTAAAATTACATCACCCATCTATTTGACTGGAAAGAAGACAGTTACAGCTCTCATACGACCCCCACCTTTTGAATGTAGCTTATGAAATATGAAAGTTATGAAGAATATGATGAAGTGCGTATTGGAACCACTGGTGGTCTCGAGGAGTTGAAAAGGTTAAATTACTTGAAAATGTTAACTTCCCCCTTAAACTGTGTGAATTTTTGTGACAGACAAATAGAAAAGGTACAAAAATATCTTCTTTCATGAACTTACATCAAAGTTAGGAGATATTTAGTCTTCTCCTACAAAGTTAACATTTCTTATGACAGTGACATCATGTCTCTTGCGTTCTGATGTGTATATATCACAAATTCATATCCAAGTAATGTGTGAGCGATGACATGACAAGCACCTGCTTCTTTGGTCCGGACAGCCCTAGATGGTGTGCTGGGGTCTCCTGTCCCAATAGAATTGGTAGCCACCACTCGGAACTCGTATTCAACCCAAGGGTTCAGCTCTACGGCCATGGCAGACTCCATATCTCCGGTCACGGGCTCTGGATCTAGGGGTTTCACATAAGTATAGTTAACCTGACATTATCATGATTATGGTATCATCATTATTATGTCATTATATGTCATCGTATGACATTCCTTATCATGTTGTCATCATTATCATGATAAATCAAGGCATTTTTCTGAGTATATTATGGGTATCGTTAGTACTTTTAGAACAATGGCAGGGAGATTAAAAAGTCTGACTGTAATTATACCAGACCAATTTTAGACTCTTTTAACAGGATATTACATTAGACTTGGAAAACAATAGGCAGGGTATAGCAAGGATGCACTGATCATGAATTTTTACGGCTGATTCTGATTTACCTTTACCCTTAAATGCACTAGCACATTCAGTTCTTTCTATTATCCCGACTTGCAATATAAATAACATTCTTTGCTTTTAATGGGACAAACGGCAACTGGAATCAAATAAAGAAGTAGATCAAATATAAGAGGTAAGTGCCTATTTAGCACAACAATTCACGTATAATAATGCTATGAATTTTTTTTACAAGTGTAGCAGCAGCATTCAAATACGGTGCGAGTGCTCTTATCTTATGTTATTTATTGCATAAAATTGCATCATAGATCTGCTAAAATAAAAACAATAAATAAGCCTACTGCCAATTTCATGTTTTGAGCAAAAATTTGCCGATCCTGATCTTGGCTGATTCAGATTGTGCCTCCCTAGCTGTATAGCAACTAAACAAAATGCAGAACACCTCACCAAGTTAACTATTGTTTTTTTATGTTACTTCATAAAATGTTAAGCAAAATGATATTTGATTCAGAGAAAAACATTTTAAGCACAACATTAAACAGATGGTAGACTGGAGAGGAATTCCAACCAGACTGCACCATGAGTACTGTACAGTGCAGAGGCAGAAACATCTGGAAAAATATAGAAAGTCTGGGGCTGTTTTTCTTACAATATTCTTAGCACGCTTCTGTTCATACACATCAGGTGCCTTTTGAAAGAATCCTTTTAAAAAAGAAAATACAGTTTTGTTATGGTCTGTTTAAAATAAATGCTACTTGGTTTGACGTTTGTTTCCTGACATGTTTCTAAAGTAAAGCACACATGTCCAAATACTTTTTAGGGGCCAGTGTATGATGACGCATATGCTGCATTGTAACTGAGTATCGTGACGTTATTTTATATACCCTTAGATACACAGAGCATTTCATTCAGAGAGCCTCCGACGTCTAATCACACTAAGGCCCAATCCCATTTCTTCTTTTTACCTCTACCCCTTGTTTTCAAGTGTCTCCCTAACTCCCTAAGATTTCAACCACTACCCCTTGGAACTGAGTTACAAGGAGTAGTGGTTGAAATCTTGCCCTATGAAATCGGACAACCCTCAAAGTAAAAAGAAAAAACATTACTTCATTAACAGCTACTAGCGCTGCTCTGTAGGTGACCCTGCCAGTCTGCAGTGACAGCAGAGGAGGGTAAAGTTCAGCTCCTCACTGCTGGGCTTTAGTTACATTTAGGGCATCATACGCCTTCAAAGAGGGGGGCAATTATTTATTATCACCCACCACTAATTCTTCAGGGATATGAAGCTGAAGTCAGATATTCACCAGATTCTTGTTCAAATCTTCCCGTTCCACCTTAAATGGTGCAGCAGCAGTTACATTCTGGCGCTTCAGGCGTCAGAAATGCTGGACTATTCAAGGTGGAACGGGAAAGTTAGCTAGTTACCGAGACATTAGCATGCTATTAGCGATTTTTTATGCTTGTTATGAAGAAAACGACCATAATACACAAACAACATTAAACTAAGATAATGTAATGGTTATTAACAGAGAATTTAATTTTTGAAAATTCTCACGTGTGTGATTCTTTGGTCTCTTGTTCTCCATCTTGCTGTTTTTTCTTTTTTTCTCATATCACTCTGTTTGGAGTCTCTGAAAAACCTCCATTTAGAGGGTCATGTAGCCCCAACATTTCGCCCTCCCCCTCCATCTCAACAAAAATCGGGACACCCTACCCCTAGACGAGAACACGCAGGGAGTGAGTGGTAGGGGCGAGGGGTGAAATGGGATTGGGCATGTCCTGAAGACAATAACATACGCTGAGCCAGAGCTGACAGACAAAACACTGACAAACAAAACTGACATCGTTACAGTTAATGTGAAGGCTGATCCAAACACACCGCCAACAATGATTCACACCTGAAAAGATGTGATTCTTCCAAAAACTCAAACTGGAACTCTTATCATTCACAATTATAAATTATTAATACTTTGAATGCAGACCTCTGTACGCTTCTCTTCTGCAAAAGTGAGGCTGTAGCTTCAGGCGAAAGACCTGCCAATCTCCTTCAGCCTGGTAGGACAACGTTGTGTGACATAAGAAAACTGTAAGTCGAGACACATTCGGCTTCTCTTCTTCACTCACTTCAGCTTGGAAGTCGTGGCGTGTCAGCCCAGCGCAATAAATGTATTCCAACTGAATAAGTAAATCCCAGCAAATCCCAGAGCTTTAGAAGCATATTTTAAAGGGCAAGTTTTGACTACACTGCTTATATCCCACAGGACAGTTTTCAAGAACCATTTACAGCTCATTTGCCAAACTACCTTTGAGACAAAAAACTTATTAGCGTAACAGAATTACGGCAAAAAATAGCACAGGAGCCACAGAAGGATTTAGTACAGCCTCTATAGGAGCACTATCAGTTGACAATAGCAGTAAGGTCAGAACACCTGAACAAGTACCTAAATGTCACAGAACAAGTGTTATTAATATACACATATACATTTTAGGGCTGCTGCTAATTTGGAAGACAATTAATCTAAAAGTTATTTTACTGACGGGTCAATCTAAATGGTTAAATTCCAACAACAAAAGCAACAGAACAAAACAAAGTTGACTTTTACTTTTAATTTCACAATAAAGACAATACCAACAAAATCAGTAGAATCTTCAATAACATCAGCTGTTAAACAGACAAAGCTGTGCTGTAGCTTTAAACATATGGAACGTCTTCCCAAGCGAAACACGATACAATAACAGGCCACAATAACAGCAACTCAGAAAGCTTTAGTCATATTATTATTTAACAAAAAGCAATTTATAGGCTGTAAAAATATTATTTATTAAATCTATAGTGAGAGGCTTCTTGGGGGTTACCACTATCTGATATGAAAGGTGCCACAAATATTGATTAAGAGGCTACTTAGTCTGTAGGTCAGAGTCAAGGTTTAGGGTTACGAACAGCCTCTCAGTCAGAAAATCGAGACTTTCAAAAAACTCTACCCAGTCTTCTGGTGGCACATTTACAAAACATAAAAACAACCAAATCAACCACAAATGTGCAAAAATTGATTTATTTGTAATTGCTGCAGTATTATTATGATCATTTTTATATAATGTAGATACCCTGATGAGCCACAGCAATCTGACCACTCACAGGTGAAGAAAATAACACTGTCAGAGTCAGAGCATCTCCAAAACGGCAAGGCTTGCGAGGTACCATGTTCTTTTACATCACATGGAAGGCCAGGTATGTGCACGCCGTTAACCTGGGAAGTGACTGCATGCGGGATTGAATGTGGGAAGACTAACAAGCCAGTGGATGGAGTGTGATGCTCAGGGAAACCCTGGATCCGGCATTCATGCAGAAATCAATTTGATACGTGCCACTTAACATCACTGCAGACCAGGTACACCCCTTTATGCCAATGGTATTCCTTGATGCCATGCTGCACACATTGTTTGGCAATAGTTTGAGGAACATGATGAAGAGTTCAGGTGATGCCCATTGAGCATCTGTGGGATGTGCCGGAGCAACAAATCTGATCTGTGGTGGCTCCACCATGCAAATTACAGGACTTAAAGGATCTGTTGCAAACGTCTTGGTGCCAGTTCCCAAAGGGCACCTTCAGAAGTCTTGTAGAGTTCATGCCTTGCCTTGTCGGAGCTTTTTTTGATGGCACGCAGGGAACCAACAGCTTATTAGGCATGTGGTCAGAATGTTTTGGCCAATCAGTATATTGTCAAGGTATATACATTCTTGACAAATTCGGTTAATCCAAGGCATAATATTTGTTATTTCTCAGGCTATGAAGACAAATTTCAGTGAATGGCACATAAAAGACAAAGGCATGGTTTGGTGTCCAAAGCTGGCTTCCTTCTATGACATACCGTTACCCTTTATTAATCTTTTTTGTGTCTTTTAATACTAAAAACAGTACTACCAGCCATCTTAAAGGAATAGTTTGGTAAAAACTCTAATTTACTCAATTTCCCACTCACCACAGATGTATTAGATCAGCCAAGACATGTCTGGTGTCCACATTTGGCCTCTTGTGTTTAGTGCTGAAGCTACTAGGTTCATGCTGCTAACAAACACTAGACGTCATCAATCCTATCTGTAAATACATCTCTAAAACCTTCCTCAACCTACTCAACCTACACATTCAGGTTTTCATTAAGGTTGGGCGAACTTGTTGATGCAGTTTACGACACAGTATGACGGACTGTGAACTCTAAAAATGCAGAAAACCTAGCGTCTGTCATTGTAGACGACTGGTGGTATCCTATTGACACGTTTGTGCAATCTTAATGTAGACGTGAATGCAGGTTTAAGGGATGTATTTATGGAAAAGATTTGAGTGTTTACTGACTTCCAGTGTTTGCTCAGCTCCACTGCATCTGGGGTGATTAGATTAGATTAGATTCGATTTTTTGCTGAACTACTGCTTTGAAGCCTGAATTCTGTCTACACTTTTATACATTTGTATAGATAACATCGTCACGCAGGATTACTGAACAACCGTGTGAGGCGAGTGTGTGTTTAAGGCATGCAGTTTGCACGATCCTAATTGGTTTAAATAAGCTTCCATTCCTTGTCAGCCTTGTAGCTCCAGTGTAAAACTCCCAAACAGTGTCTTGGCTGATTGACTACATTTAGTGTCAGAGGAAAATTGTGTAAATTTGATTTTTCGCCAAACTGTCATTTTAATGCGAGTCTGCTCCGTTAAGACCGGCGGTCTTTGAGCACAAGCCGATAACAGTGTTTGCTGAGAACTGATCTACAGCAAAGCCTCTTTCTAGCCATCCTCTTGGTAATCTCTCATTCAGCACTCAGCCAAGTTCTCACCCTACATGTGTCATCGTAGGGAAAACTCTTGTGCGAGTGGTGCACATGAAGAACCAGAGTGATTCATCCAGCTATAAGCCATTACACGACTCTGCTGTCCATATATGGCAGCCTGGATTCAAACAGATTAAGTAAACAGATGTCGTAAATCAGTGGTGCTTTGACATTAGGGGATAATCACAAGTGCTATTAGCTTCAAGGTACACAAAATAAAGTCATTTAACTCCCGAGAGGCTGATGAAAAAAAGACGGATTAAATTACATTATCTTCCAAATTATTGAAATAAAAATAACTATTAAAAAAAAAGCTTTGTAATTTCAGAGGAGCGGAAGGTTAATTTTGTAGAAACCCGGGAGTTAATTTGGCAGTTTAAACCAATGACATTTACTACAAGCACAACAGATGTTTAACTGAGGACCAGCACTTGCTTCACATCCACACAGGCTGGTGTGATAATGAAGGCTCGAGCAATCGTTCAACAGGGTGGGGGGCAGTGCTGTTCTTTGACAACAAAGGAGTTCAGAAAGCTTTTCTTAGACCGTGAAAGATGAAGTATTGGAGGAGTGAGAGTCCATTAAAATATCAGTGCATGCTGGTGGCTAGAATAAAGCCTTTTGCAGCATTATGAATTCCACTCCTTTATAACAATGACCCTGGGAGGGGAGAGGTCAGAAAGGTTAGTGTGCCTGCTTGTCCAGAGGCAGTCTTCTCAGCTACAAAACAAACCATTTCATTAAGCACACCTCCTTGTTTCTAAACTCTTTGTCCATTTTATCAGCTCCACTTTTGTAGTTCTACAGTTGCAGACTGTAGTTCATCTGCTTCCCTGCACACCACCACAGGACCACCACAGGACCCCCACAGAGCAGGTATTATTTGGGAAGTGGATCATTTTCAGCACTGCAGTAACACTGACATGGAGTTTTTAAACACTGTGTCCACTCTCTGTCCACTCTATTAGACACTCCTACCTTGTCGGTCCACCTTGTAGATGTAAAGTCAGAGACGATAGCTCATCTGCTGCTGCACAGTTTGTGTTGGTCATCCTCTAGTCCTTCATCAGTGGTCACAGGACGCTGCCCACAGGACGCTGTTGACTGGATATTTTTGGTTGGTGGACTATTCTCAGTCCAGCAGTGACACTGAGGTGTTTAAAAATTCCAGCAGCACTGCTGTGTCTGATCCACTCAGACCAGCACAACACACACTAACACACCACCACCACGTCAGTGTTACTGCAGTGCTGAGAATGATCCATCACCCAAATAGTAACTGCTCTGTGAGGGTCCATGGGGGTCCTCACCACTGAAGAACAGGGTAAGAGGGGGCTAACAAAGTATCAGAGAAACAGATGGACTACAGTCTGTAACTGTAGAACTACAAAGTGCACCTATATAGTAAGTGGAGCTGATTTTTAGAAATTCTTAATACCTCTTGTGAAAACGTAGCTTGAGTTAATTCACGTGTATTGTGCTTGACTTTGACTTGGCCATAATTGTTCACACAACTGAAAAATGTGATGCACTGAATTTGCTTGATTTATAAATGCACACGACTTCTACATTAATAAAATATTATCAAAACAATGTCTGTCAGTTTCATTTTCCTTCAGAGGTAACTGTGTATTGATGTATTTTATTTATGTGAAACTTCAAGTAATCAAGCAAATGCAACGCATCATTTTTTTTTAGTAAAGCATGTACATTTATGTGTTGTGATGTTTTCCAGTTCTTTTTTCTCACAGTGGCATGCTAGACAAGCCCTGATATGACTTGACAGTATAATGTTAGCAATTAGCTGATCTGTAGCACAGCAATTGAAGCAAACATGTCAATTATGTGTATTTCACCACAACACTAGACATATCTCAGAAGGCTGCAATGCGCCAATGATCCTCACAACTGTTCACAATGTCTTTTTACTGTGCGCTCTGACCAATCACAGTTTCCGATGGGTGTTCCTGTGATTTTTTTGATGAATGAAGGTCAAATAATGGTCCAGTCTTCAAACATGTTAAATTGAAAACAGCAATGCAAGTATTTCATTCATATTTATAATTCAAATATTCAAATCTTTGGTGTCAAGCTGATATAACGCACATTCATTTTTTTCTGCCACTGGGTTGGGAAATGACATAGCACATTATAGTAACTGACTTTGTAGCTTAGTGTATATCACAGTGCCATAATCATAATGGCTTACATCTTGAAATAGCAAAATGAAATTCAATTTACTGACCACAGAAATTTCTTACTTTTGTTCATATGACCAGCATTATGTTATTGTGACAGATACTGAGCTACAAATCTGCCATTTCACCCCAGGAAGTGTCATGAGAACCTAATGTGAGAAAAATGTCAGACTCATTTGATCTTGCAAATAAATAACAGAATGTTCTAGACTTTTGAAAAATTTAAAACAAAAAAAGGTTATGACAAGTAAAATTTGTGCCAATAGCTGTGTCCCAGTTCAGGGGCTGCATCCTTTGGAGGCTGCATTTGAAGGCAGACTGTGTCACAGCTATTGTCACAAATTCTTTTTTTGTTTTTCGAAGGCTTCTTCATATGTGGCTAAGAAATGTGTCCTTTTCCATGGCAACGATTCCATTGGTGGATCCTTCGTCAGCCAACATATCCTGAGGCTCACTGCAAGGATTTGAGAATAGCTGACGATACAGATGTTTAAAAAGCCAATGTGGTCTGAAGCAAAACTCACGCTAACGTTTCGTTTTGTTTTAGGGAACAAAGAGCCGACAGAGAGAAGCATCTCCAGCTCTAATAAATGAAAAAATAAAAACACTAAAATCAAAGTTTCTCAATCTTTAAAGAACTTTAAAAGAACGTGACAGGAGCGGCGTTTTGTGATGCAGCGGTGAGGGCGGGAGCAGCGGTGCTGTGACACAAACAGGAAATCCGCCGTAGAGCAGACCGTCTCGTTTCAGTTCAGCTTTCGTGGGTCTAAGGATGTGATCTACGAAGGCTGAACCGAAATGAATGCAGCCCCTGATTTGGGACACAGCGATTGACCATGTTAAGGCCTTTCTATAAAAAAGGTAAGATTTTTTTTTTGTTTTTACATTTACATTTACAGCATTTAGCAGACGCTCTTATCCAGAGCGACTTACAAAAAGTGCTTTGTCTATCCAGAGAAAGTATCTTCGCTAGTTACCGATAGGTTAGAGAGAAAACCAGTCCTGAGCTCAGATACTGCTAGAATCAGAAAGTCATTGACACCCAGAGAAAAAGGAACAGTTAAACACAGAGCAGTGCTGTACAATACATTACAATCAATACTTAACTCAGCGCTCATTTAAGTGCTGTATAAACAGATGTGTCTTCAGTCGTGTTTGAAGACAGCGAGAGACTCTGCTGCTCGGACAGCCAGTGGGAGTTCGTTCCACCACCTGGGTGCCAGCACAGAGAACAGTCTTGATGCTTGCCTTCCGCGCGCCTTGAGGGATGGCAGGTCAAGCCGAGCTGTACTCGAAGCTCGAAGGGCTCGTGGTATAGTTCGAGATTTGACCATTGCCATCAAGTAGGGAGGAGCTGGTCCATTTTTGGCTTTGTAGGCAAGCATAAGGGTTTTTTTGAGTCTTATCTCTTCCATTGAAGCTTGTGTTCGGATGACTCTCAGGTGGACCTGATCTGCTCATTTTTTGTCAATGAGTGCGTATACATGCATTCAATAATCCAATCATAACTGGATTTCTGCAGTTATCTGATTATTCAAATGGTCATGTAAACACCATACTCCGATCTAGAAACCTGATTAAGAAATCCGATAAAGAGAGCTGGATTTTGTCTCAGTAATCAGATTTCTCAGTGCATCCGATTTCTATTGGATTTCTTAGTCTGTGCATGCGTGAGATCAGATGGTGGATGACGCGAGACACAGCCAAACAGTTTTGAAGCAGCGCTGAAACCAAACACGAAATAAAGGAGTTAAATATTCTTCATCTTCTAGATGATGTATGTTCGTATTTTCAGGTAAAGCAGCGCAAAGTTTTAAAAACAGCTGCAGCATGAAGTTTAAGGTTTACGTTACGTTTAAGTCTCGTCTTCTACTGTGAGTTTATTGGCTGGTTGCAAAGTAGAAATCTGATTACTGTCTGACTCATGTAGACCCAGAGTTTCCCATTATCTGATTACTCAAGAGCATGTAAACATGTTGAATGGATTACTGACAAAATTTGATTTTCTACAGTTATCAGATTATTAAGTGCATGTAAACACACTCACTGTTAGTGATGCTGTCATTAAAGGGAAATTCCACAGATTTTTCAAAATTTCTCCCTAAGTAAACTCTTAGGATGTTATGCCGATAATAAAGTTTGCACTGAACCCTTTTTCTTTTGCCAACTGTTGGCAAAAGTTATTGGCATAATTGTTTATTAATGTGTATGTAGGTCCTTCAGTTATCATGAAGGGCTTATCCAGGCGTCACACAGCCTCGGGAATGTTGTCCTAAAGTGTTACTGAATTCACAACTTAGTCGTCTGTCCAGACAACACTCCACCTCCACAGCTTGTTGACAAGTTTTGGTCCATTGCTTACCTGTTTTGACTGTCTGCCAGCCTAAAGAGAAGGGGCTGCGGGCCTGAAGGTTATAGGTGGTGATGGGGCTGTGGTTGTCCACGCCGTGGCTCCACGAGAGCGTTGCTGTAGTATCCGTGATCTCCTCCACAATGACCACTCCAGGAGGTCCCGGGGGGCCTGGAGACAAACACCATCAAGGAGGAAGCGTGACTGGACTGACCACACATTCTCAGGAGGACAGAGGAGAGGAGTGAAAATCGTGTCCTCGCAAATGCGCTTATTGGGTTACAGCCATTACCTTGATGTTATTAAATTTTATCTCCGCAGAGGCGACGCGCACGAACATGCGTATAGCGCGGAAAGCGGCGGCACATATGGGGTGGAATTCAATTCCCAGTTGTAAGCTCTGAACAAACAAACATGCGAGCACACAAAGACTTACTTAACCACAGCAGGATTTAGAATGACACAGATCCTTTGCCAAGAATTTCATGCTGATTAAGAAGCACTGAAGCTGTTTTTTTGCTCTCTCTCTCTCTCTCTCTCTCTCTCTTTCTGTCTATCTCTCTCTCTCTCTCTCTCTCTCTCTCTCTCTCTCTCTCTCTCTTTCAATCTCTCTCTCTCAATGTCTCCCGCTCACCCTGTCAGGCACAATGCCAGCTCTGTTAGCCATGATTGTATGGTGGCCCCTTTATTCTGTCTGGAACTGCCAAGCATATGTTTACCTCAGCCTTCAGATGTGAATGTAATCTGAGGGTGCTGGTGAACAGCGGCGGACTCAGGGGAGAAAACAGCTGTAACGGAGAGGCTGACAGCAGCTGTGCCCAATGAAAACCCAATGTTCTGTGGGTCTGGGAAGGGTGCGTTAAAAGGTTGCACTGAAAGGCGCATTTGCATGCTCATTAGTATCCCCAGCACGTCGCCATGGAAGGAATAGTGAAGGCTTCTGTTTTAAGTCTGGATGGAAATGTGTGAAAAGGCCTTTCCTGTCTGAGCTTTCAGAGAGGAGCAATTATGCCCATGAAACCAATGAAAATGGAGCTGCCACTTTTTTATGTATAGAAAAGGTGCATTTGGTGCACAATGGAAATGCAGTCTTTTCTACTGATTGTTTTTAAAAATTCTGCATAATTAAATCTTTAAAAGGGAATTCCAGCAATTTTTCAATGGTTGAGATGTAAACAAAGTCATTCAGAGAGGTCTGACATGAAATGGTTCACTGTATAGAAACCTATCCACTCAGATTACTTATTAGTGGTGTGTTAGTGTGTGTTGGTGCAAGTGGATCAGACACAGCAGTGCTGCTGGAGTTTTTAAACACTGTGTCCACTCTCTGTCCACTCTATTAGACACTCCTACCTTGTCGGTCCACCTTGTAGATGTAAAGTCAGAGACGATAGCTCATCTGCTGCTGCACAGTTTGTGTTGGTCATCCTCTAGTCCTTCATCAGTGGTCACAGGACGCTGCCCACAGGACGATGTTGGCTGGATATTTTTGGTTGGTGGACTATTCTCAGTCCAGCAGTGACACTGAGGTGTTTAAAAACTCCAGCAGCACTGCTGTGTCTGATCCAGTCAGACCAGCGCAACACACTCTAACACACCACCACCACATCAGTGTTACTGCAGTGCTGAGAATGATCTACCACCCAAATAGTACCTGTTCTGTGAGGGTCCATGGGGGCCCTGACCACTGAAGAACAGGGTAAAAGGGGGTTAACAAAGTATCAGAGAAACAGATGGACTACAGTCTGTAACTGTAGAACTACAAAGTGCACCTATATAGTAAGTGGAGCTGATAAAATGGACAATGAGTGTAGAAACAAGGAGGTGGTCATAATGTTATGCCTGATCGGTGTAAATATAAAGTAAATGTTTGCACAAAGAATACCAAGACCAGCTCATGTAACACCTGCACTGCGAATGATGAGAGTCTGGTTCAGTGTGTGCTTTGAGTAGCTGAATATGATGCAAGAGGCAGGCCATTACAGTGCTGTCATCGAGGTGTGCACACAATTACTGTCCTGTCTATTATGCACGATAGCACTGGCAAAACATCCACATCCACAACCACTGCACAACGCGTTCCATGCTCAACGGACTGTGAAGGTCGCAAATTAACAAAGTTAATTAAATAAATTAAATACGAGGTTGACAAAACACAAACTTTTGATACTTGGGTAATTAGTGCTGCAAAGCACAGCTTGTGGCTTTTTTAAAACTCCGCCATCCTTTAAGACGCAGTGACAATAAAAGTACGATAATCAGTACTGTTACTATTAAAGAACTGGCACTGATGGCAAGCTTTGTTCTCCCACACTATGCAAGAAGGGAGTCAAGCAAGACACTCTCATTGTTCATTAATTGCTGTGTGGTTGCTTCAGGCTCTGGTCAGCCAACACGGCTTCTCAGCTATTGCTGATCTTTTCCTAAAGCATCAGTTCAGCACAAAATTTGACTGAAAAACAAACCAAAAAAAGAGCCAAAATACAGTACAGAACTATGTTTAGTGTCAACGTTTGCTTCTTTACTTTTGCAGTTGAGCTGTTGAGCTGGCGCAGTGACTAGTGAGTGAAAACTGCATCATCTTAAACTTGCTTCAAACTAGAGCTGGGGACTGCACCTCGGACTCGAGTCACACTTGAGTAGGATCGTGACTCAACTCGGGCTCTAGACCAGAGGCGTCAGACTGAGTTCCTTTTGGGCTGCGGCTCTGCAGAGATTAGCATTCCTACTCATTAAACACATCCGATTCACCTTATCAGCTAATTAGCAAGTCTTCATGTGTTATTAGAAGAGGGAAAATGCTAATGTCTGCAGAGCTGTGGCCTGGAAAAAAACAAGTCTGTTTTAGATTAAAGACAACATGATAAAAAGCATTCACAAAACTTGACACAGTAAAGAAACTCTAACCTAATGGCTGTGCCTTTGTTAGAGTCTGAAATTCTGACCCAAGCTCAGTAAATTTCCATCTGAAACTGACCCCACATCATTTATTGCTCAGTAACATGGAAAAGAAGTAATAATGTAATATGCTAAAATAACCGTCTGTCCAAAAATCAGTATATTGTTTTTTGTTCAGCAATGCCTCCAAACTACATTTCAAAAGTTTTTGATAAACATTTTAGATAAACTTTCCATACTGCGCTGTTCTCATGCTGTGTGCTGTTGATATAATGGTCCTTCGCTTGTTCAATCCTAAAACTCTTATATATATATATATATATATATATATATGTATATATATCATTACCTACATTTAGGACATGGAGAAAACGGGGTAGATTTTTTTTGCTCTACTACACACTTAAGGCCTGCTTTAGGTTCTTGACAGACTCGTTTCAGGTTGAGGACATGAAAATGGACTCTGGGCTAATGAGCTCACCTCTCACGAGCAATTCGGCTTCAGCCAGCACCGTGTCTGCGCTCGTCTGCACCCGGCAGCCATATTTCCCAGCATGCTTCAGGAGGATGCTTCTGATCATCAGGTCTGCCGTGGAGGACTGCTAAATGGGGAGAGAAGAGGATGAAGAAAATGGGAAAAGAAAGAACCTCACAAAAAAGAGAAATAGACTTCCCGTGAGTGGCCGACACCTGAAGAATGGCCTGCTTTTACTCCCTGTATTGGCTCTTGTGGCTTAAGAGATTCTTGCTGCTCTCGCTAGCTGGCACGCTATTACTCTCCCTCATCTTGGCCCTGTGCGGAAATGAGAAACACCCGGGGCGAGGCTGGACGTAATTCAAGGTCTAGAGGCAGCTGTTTAGCACAGGGACTGATTAAAATTACAGCACATGAATCAGAAAGCTGGATGCGACTCTGCTGTCTACACCGTACTGTCGCTAAGAGTGCATGCCGCATCATCGCTAGCTCGCAAAAGAAACTGCTTTCCTTTACTCTCTTTCATGCATCGTGATTTAAAGAGAAGACTAGGCTTATAACAAGAACGCTCAAAGACTCAGATACTCCAGGCCCTTCTCCCTTTGTTTTGTTTTATGTGAATGAAAAAGTGCTGAGGGGATCCCTGCACTCCACGCTAGTTCCATGCCTACTCTGCTGAGTTGGCAGCTTTGTATGTTAAGAAGCCTGACGCAAGCACTACTTCTACATCATGAGAAACAAGAAAAGTCCTTGTATCCCCAAGGCTCAAGTAGAATCACAGAAGAATATTGCTTTTACATGTTCATGAAGCTACAGATGTAAATGAGTCATTCTACAGAAACGTCCACTTTTCTGTCTGTCCATAGGTGTCACTGGTGTTACTGATCCTCATTGGTGTTACACATAATAAAGGAACACCAGAGACATTTTTAATGAAAAATGCTTTTTACAAAACGGCTGCTACAGAGCATCAAACCACATGATGTCAATCATGGAATATCCACTAAAATATGGAATTTAATCCATTTGTATTCTATTTTTTTCACAGTTACCTCAGAATAAAGTCGGTCACACCAGTGACTTCAGCTAAAAGCTTCATATGAAATCGTGAGCTAAATGAGAAAATCTCTGATAACTGAAAGACACAGTGGACTCACCGTGTGCTTTTCTTCATAGATCCTCAGAAAACAGGTAAAAGGAAGTCGAGTGATGTAATCAGTGTGACTTTTATTTCAAAATAAGAGATTTTTTTGTTACGCAGTCACACCAGTGACACGACTCCTGGGGACAACAACTTTCATTATATCACCATCATCATCATCATCATCATCATCATCGTTAACCGCTTAGTCCAGATAGGGTCGCGGTAGCAGTTGGGAGAGCAGAGAATCCCAGATGACCCTGTCCCCCGCAACTTCCTCCAGCTCATTCCCGGGGACCCCAAGCCGCTCCCAGGCCAACTTGGAGATATAATCCCTCCAGCGGGTCCTAGGACGACCCCGGTGTCTTATTCCGGTAGGCCATGCCTGGTACACCCCCACCGGGAGGCGTCCCGGGGGCATCCGGATCAGATGCCCGAACCACCTCAGCTGGCTCCTCTCAATGCGGAGGAGTAGCGGCTCTACTCCGAGCTCCTCCCGGATGGCCGAGCTCCTCACCCTATCAAATAGAGTGTAGCCCGCCACCCTGCGAAGAAAGCTCATTTCCGCCTCTTGTATTCGCGATCTCATTCTTTCGGTCATTACCCACAGCTCATGACCATAGGTGAGGGTCAGGATGTAGACCGATCGGTAAACAGAGAGCTTCGCCTTACGGATAAACTTTCATTATATATTTTATAATATTTATTTGGCTTTTGTTTTTTTTATGTCATTTAATTTATATATTCCATAGTCATGTATAGATTATTGTAGTTAAAATTGAAGAAAAATGTGATCAAAATATGGCCTCAGCCTTCACACATGACTGTGGGGACGAGCTCTTCTGTGGTGCTTGGAATTCTATATAACTGATTTAAAAACCAATATCGCTAAATTGAGGCTCAAGAAGGTGTAAATGTTAAAATCACTTATTGTTTTATTTTTAAAATATACATAAATTGTAACCCTAACATGTTTTTCAAGTGTAATATGTCTGTAAACGCTAGGGACACAAAAATGGACGTTTCTGTAAAATGACCCAAATGCATGGCTAACATTAATGGGTAAAAATGACTGACAATAAGACAAGACTCATGTAATTCAAGCCACCACTCAGCAACTACTGACTAGTCTTCTTCCATCCGGGCTGTCAGTCAGCGAAACAGAATTAATGCCGCTGAGGCTTAACACAATCTCCGAACGCGGGACCATCAGCCATCTTTTACGCCCTAGAACCCAATTAGGGGTTGCGTGTGGCAGCTCTGTGGCCGAGAGATGATAACCGCTGGTGTTAGTGAGTGGAGCCATATTAACGCCTGAAGAGAAGCCTGAGTACGGCCCCTAATCTGATACTGAGGGGATACAAGTTGGTTTGAACTCAATTGCATCGGCCCTGGCTGACACGACGAGGGACGCATCCCAATTAGAAAGTTGATGAGTTTCTTGAGCGCAGTCAGAGATGTGATGACTGCACACCAGCCGCTGTGCGATTCAGGCTGGTTGTGCAATATGAGATGGTCTCCAAAGGAGAAGAGCAGAATCGATACAGTAAAAGTGGGCTGTATGATTTTCACCCCAGCCAATGCAACTGAGATACCTACACTATCATTTAAAATGTCTAAATTGGTAAGTACACTTTTGAATTTTAGCTGTGAGAGAATATCTTCATACTTTTTGTTCAGCACATTTATTGTGCACCATAAATGATCTCTGAAGTTTTAAAATACATATACTCCTTGTCTCTATGCTCATTGTCCACTTTACCAGCTCCACTTACTATATAGGTGCACTCTGTAGTTCTACAGTTACAGACTGTAGTCCATCTGTTTCTCTGCATACTTTGTTAGCCCCCTTTTACCCTGTTCTTCAGTGGTCAGGACCCCCATGGACCCTCACAGAGCAGGTACTATCTGGGTGGTGGATCATTCTCAGCACTGCAGTAACACTGACATGGTGGTGGTGTGTTAGTTTGTGTTGTGCTTGTGCGAGTGGATCAGACACAGCAGTGCTGCTAGAGACACACTGTGTCCACTCTCTGTCCACTCTATTAGATACTCCTACCTTGTCGGTCCACCTTGTAGATGTAAAGTCAGAGACGATAGCTCATCTGCTGCTGCACAGTTTGTGTTGGTCATCCTCTAGTCCTTCATCAGTGGTCACAGGACGCTGCCCACAGGACGATGTTGGCTGGATATTTTTGGTTGGTGGACTATTCTCAGTCCAGCAGTGACACTGAGGTGTTTAAAAACTCCAGCAGCACTGCTGTGTCTGATCCACTCAGACCAGTGCAACACACACTAACACACCACCACCACGTCAGTGTTACTGCAGTGCTGAGAATGACCCACCACCCAAATAGTACCTGCTCTGTGAGGGTCCATGGGGGTCCTGACCACTGAAGAACAGGGTAAAAGGGGGCTAACAAAGTATGCAGAGAAACAGATGGACTACAGTCTGTAACTGTAGAACTACAAAGTGCACCTATATAGTAAGTGGAGCCGATAAAATGGACAATGAGTTTTCAATGTTCAAATGCTCAGTTTTGGGGTGCTACAGGGAATTGCACTCTGCATTTTAATGATAGTATAATGAGAGAATAATGAGACAAAAGCAAAATGGCTTGAATGTCTTTCTGGGGTTTAAGTACCACCCAGTATAAGGGTGTGTAGTGAAGCTTTTACTGTTAAAAATTTGGTTCAGTACAGCTCAGGATTTGCCACACAGTAGAAATGTGACCATCCAGTGTACCGAAAACCAGCACTTATTAAGGTGATTTTGGAGTTATAGATTTACAGCTAACAACACAGGTGAAAAGCAAAACTTTCAGTTAATAAAAAGTCACAAACTACTGTCAACAAACCATGTTTACAGATTAAAACAATCTTTATCTTTATCCTCCTACATGGCCTGCTTTATCCTCCTACGTGGCCTGCTGTTAGTGTGTGTGTGTCGGTGTGTGTTTGTATATATGTGTGTGTGTGTATGTGTGTGTGCATGAGGGTGGACATGGACAGGCTGCTGACTGGCTACAGCTGCTAAAGGAGAACCCTAAGCTGGACACGTGATATTTTAAACATCTGGTATTTTTACACAAATTGTTATGGCTGTATTGATTTGAATGTGGTGGGCCCACCAGACCACTGGGTATCAAAAACATCAACACCACACAAAGGTTAAAGGTAATAAGTAAAGACTGGGCTGCTACGTTTGATGCAGAGGCTGTAAATGAAGAGGTTATAATGAATATGCAATACGCTGTGTTCCACAGCCACATGGCAGAATGGTAAAAGGCATCAAAAACAGAAATATAAAGTACTAATTTTCCTTTTCGGAAAAGCTTGGAAGGTAATCGAAATAAATAAAAATTGCTCATAGAAAATATTTACTTTTGATAGACGCTAAAAACACAGCAAACAGCCAGAAGACAAATTGTTTGGAAGAAAAATGCCTGAGAAATTTAACCTCTCAACTCTCCCGTCTTTGAGAAGAACAGAAGTCCTGTCGCTGCCCAGTGGTCGATATGACATTCTAACTCCAGCAGGGCCAGCAGAGAACGCTATGGGCTCATCCGTCACACGTGTGGCTCTCAGAAGCCTGATGGTGTGATTCACACCAGGTCTTTCATCATGGTGACATATAGGTCTGACTGACCTTTCAGCCCATTGATTCTCACTTGAGTTCAAGCAGGATCTGGTGCAATGTGCCATGGCCAAAATAAAGAACCGTGACTCAATCTACTCGCATGTGACCAAGCCCAAGATAGCATGGTGACAATCCAGTATTAGGTGATAAATAAAAAACAGTGTTGTCCAAAGAAGGGAAACAGCTCCTCATACTATATGCATTCTACTGAAGTGGTGCCCCTCCTGATCCTAGAGATTTTAAAGCGCTCTGTCTGCTCCCAATACACCTGACTCTCCTTATCATCAGATAATTAACAAGCCTTTGAGAGTTTATATGGGGTATACTGACCGATAAATAGACTTTATTAATCCCAAAGAAATGACAGAGTTACAGCAGGAACACAGAACTGTTCGAACAACTAGGGATTGGAGAATTCAGAGATCAGGCTTCATTTATTTAATGTTCTGTAAAAACAGCCTTTAAGTACAAGCAATTCATTTTTCAGTGTCAGGAAAAAAGAAGAAAACACATTTTACAGAAAATTACACAGAAGCCGCAACCTCATTTTTTAGTGTCCACCCTTTATATTACACCTTCCAGTCTTTTCATGAAACTTGCTTTCATTATACAGGGAGATTCACTCGAAAGAGGCCCAGAATATTCTGTAATAACTCTCTCTAGGACGAAGCAATCTGAACGAAACAATGTGCAGTGTGTTCCTCAGTATACGGAGCTTTGAACAAGCCGGGATGCCCCTGCGTCGGAGCGATGGGGTAGGTGCCGCAACAGGCGTCGTTAACCTCCTTTTGCAACTTCCGGGGGCAGACCCCCTGTACCCCTTCATGTGTCAGTCAGAAAACGGAGATCACTTCCAGCATCGCATGTAATGCAATAGATTACTCATACGTCAAGGTATGTAGCGTATTTTTTGGTTCAGATTGCTTCATCATAACGGGAGTTACAGCAGAATATTCGGGGCCTCTTTCGAGTGAATCTGAAAGGTTATTTTTCCTTGCTTTTAAAGTACAGTCTTGGAAGTTGGCTGCATTTTCAGAATCCTCTACACATCCTTTCAGACCCATAGCGCTGAGTCGTCTTCTCACAGTGGAAGGATGGACAGAAACACCTGTGGATGTTTTCAGATCTGAAGCAGCTTGATTTTCTCCTCTCTCTCAAAGATGAAAGCTTTAAGTGCTGTTTATCTGATTGGCTGCGTTTTGGTGTCTACCAGGTCTCGCAAGGATGTTAGGAGTCCAATTTTCTCTGTATCATTTAATCATTCTTCTTCTTTAAGCACATGTACATCTGTACTTAATGGCCTTTGACTGGAAACTAAATTAATGAAGAGTGGTCTCTGATTTTCTGCCCAGTACTGTACACCAGTATAAAGGTCAACACCGGCTGACGTTGTCTCATGAATTTTGCTATATTTTGGATGCCACAGTGCAAACCACAAACAGTTAAAATTTACACAGTTTCCAAGATGCTCACAAAAGACTAAGCGCTGGGGTTTAACACGTGCTTAAAGTAAATATTTTTTTATGATAAAAATATGCCGTATTTATCAGATTTTTTTTTTAATTTGCAAGAGAAATATTATACACATGTATATAATGTTCCAGAAGTGAAACTAGGCAGAACGTCACTAGTTTAGGCAGAGAAATATTAAGGTAATTTCAGACTATGGTTAACAGATAAAGTGGCCAGAACACATAGCCTAAAACTACCTGGTCCGTAGGAGGTCCAAACCTGCCCAGGACCAAGGAAACCGAAACTGAACAATGGAAGGTCAGACACTTTTTCAAACTTTCTCAAGGGTGCTTCTTTTCACTGTTGTCTATGATATGGCAACCGCAACTGAAAATCAACCCTCTAGCTTTCACACTGTGCTTCACATCTTTAAACCATGAGTTTAAGTTGAAAAATCACCAACTCTTCTGCCAAGTGCCCCCAGAAAGAGCTCTGTACATCATGCACAGCTGACCAATCAATATTTGGGATGATTTTTCTCTAGTCATTCACCCAACATGGAGGAAAAGCTAGTTTTGGCTGTTTTTCCAACACCCAGACACAAAGACCTTGATGCAAAGCTCAATTTATAATTAAGCCAAATGGTTCCCAGGGCTGTACCGTAGTTTGTAAGTGTTATGTGAGGAACTGTGTCCATGTGGAAACGGCACTAGTTACTCTTCGTGGTCCTACAGTAAAAAAGAGGTCATAAGAACCACAGTCTGATCATTAAAAAGGTTCTATATTTACTAGTATTTACTACATTTATCTGTTTTGTTATGGTATTATATCGGTCATAACATATTTTACTGTACGTATCATAATATACATTATATTATATTACACTAGGGGTGAGGAAAAAATCGATTCTTAGACGCATCGCGATGCGGACGTGAACGATTCTGAATCGATTCACAAATGTCAAAAATCGATTTTCTAAACATTTCATTTATAATGTAATGTTGATGGAACGCAAAAGACGGAACTGGAAGTGGGTAAGTGCAGCACCTGGACAGTCTGTGGCGGCACATAACAGAAACACAACTGGATGAGTGAGAAATCCGACCGGCACTGCATTAAAGCCAGGTTAGATCAGGAGTCACAACACAAATGATAAGAAGAGCCATTTTGTCCTTTCAACAAAGTTAAACCACCTCGGGAGCCACAACATTTAATGCCCAGTATGTCTCAGTGTGTGTTAATGTCCTAGTATAGACTAAACAATATAAACGAGAGCGCAGATTTACTTCGCTCTGCTTTAAGCTTCAGCTATAGCCGCTTTCCTCCCATCTCCACCAGGAAACTTTTCCTCAGAAGTAGAGCAGCATATTGTAAAATGTCTCTCAGCGTTCGACTGTTTTACGAGGCTGAAGTCGCTTCTTATTCTCCAGCTTCTCGTTCAAATTTTTCCGTTCCACCTTAAATTCTGACTGAGGTGCCGAATGTAAATGCGGCACCATTTAAGGTGGAACGGGACAATTCAAAAGAGAAGCTGACTTCATCTTCGCCACAGTTTAGTGTTTGACAGTCTCTCGTTGCAGATTTAACGTACCAGGAAACCAACTGCGCTACTTATAAATGCGAATAACGCATCGCTGCTATGCGACCTGCAGTCTGTGGAGTCGTTGCGAAACAGGGCTTTCTCGCTATGCTGCACACGACCCGTCTCGAAGATATTTAACTGACACAGCGACCCCCTGTTTATTTAATTAAAATAAATGATTGAACATTCCATTTTATCACTACTAGTACAATAATAATACTTCTGAAACTTTACCAAACGTTTCTGTAGATACTGTTTCTGTTGTCACTACGTAGCTGGTAAACACAGCTATGAACAGCTGTACACACATAAAATCCACAATGATTTTCATTCAAAAACACAAAAAAAAGTTATTTGCAAAAAATATGTGTTTCACAATTAGTTAATTAGTCTTAATGTTAATTAGTCTTGATGTTTCACACTTATTTTCAGACTTTCCAGACACATTTACGCCAAAACAATGGGATCTAACTGCTCACCATGTGGCCATGAGGGACAGGGCATTTCAGTCTCACTTCCTACTCTGAAGTGCAGGGGTGTGGCTAAAATAAGTTTCTGCCTATGGACTATTTTGTGTTTCAGAAGTGGCATGAAAACAGCATTTTTTGAAAAGTTTTTTCTTTTTTTTACTTAAACTCATGACAAATTGGAATCTTTCTAATTAATTTTAAAAGAAATCAGAAAGATCTTAAAATTCTAGGTAATATATAAACGTAGGGTTTAGGAGTTGGGACAGCCACTTTCCAACAGAACGTACTCTAGAAATGAAGATTTTGTATTTAGCTTATTACTATTTTAATTAATGTCTTGGGTTTAAATAGATCATAACACAATCGCTGTAAATATCGAATGTCTGGATGCTTCAAACTTTTTTATATTTGGTAGAATTTCAAACATCAAATACTTGAAACATTTATTTTATTTAGTAGAATGGTCCATATATGTCCTGCAATGTTTACCATTCCTCAAAATGCTGTCTCGTGTTTGCCTGCTTGTCAATCAATTGCACATCCTGCTTCTTTTTGATCTCTTACTTAAAAAGGCGGCATCTGAACGCTGCCTAATAGCGTGCTTTCTACCTCCTCCTATGGCATCAGCAGACAGAAGAGATCCCCTTACTGTTCGGATGTACTCGAAGTGACCGCCGTCTTGCTGGGCGTTGAGCGGCTGGTTGTTGAGAAGCCAGAGGAAGTTGACGTCGAGCGAGGGGTCGTGTGTGGCCTTGCAGCTGAGCACCACGCTCTCCCCCACGGTCACCTCCACACGCTTCGGGCTCAGCTCCACCTTCATGGCCTCTGCAAGGACAAAGCTGTCACACTGTCATCTCACAACAGGGTTTAACAGACAAGGCTACGAGAGAGGAGCTCGGGGTGCGTGCAGAGAGCAGCGGCTTTCAAAACCCATTCTTTTTTATATATTTCAAGAAAGGTGGTGCCAATACAGTGATGGATGGGGAAGTATTTGTAGACATCAAATGTGACATATCCTATCATTTTGAGCAATGGTCTACTTGTATAGAAACCAGGTTTTGGGTTGAGAATTCAATTGTGTGTTGGGGTTGTGCTTGTTTTTTGTTCTAGCAGTCTCAGCTTTCACACTGTGTCAACATTATTGTGAAGTTCAAATAATAAATATACCATCTACATTCCCAAAAAGTGGGGACAGTATGTGAAATGCCAAAAAACAATCAGAAAGTAGTAATTAGTACATTTTATTTGACCAGTACGAAATTGAAAACTTTCTAAAACATACATTATTTGATAATTTACCATATGAACTGTACTGTAAATATATGTTCATTCCAAATATTATGCCTGCAAAATGTTCCATAAACGTTCGTGAACATCATCTTTTTTGTTTAACAGCATATAAAAATCGTTTGGGGACTAAAGACACCAATTGATCCAGTTTCGAAAGTATACTATATATATATGTGTATATATATATATATATATATATATGTATATATATATATATATATATATATACACAGATCAGGCATAACATTATGACCACCTCCTTGTTTCTACGCTCATTGTCCATTTTATCAGCTCCACTTACTCTATAGTATAGTACAGTAAGTGGTGCTGACAAAATGGACAATGAGTGTAGAAACAAGGAGGTGGTCGTAATGTTATGCTCGATCGGTGTTTATATATATATATATATATATATATATATATATATATATATGTATATATATAAAAGTTACCCACTAATACAATGACAGACCCTTGATTTTAAACTTTACGCTGGTAACAATCTGGATGGTCCTTTACTTCTTTGGCCCAGAGAACACAACATACATTATTTCCTGAATAAGGCTGACTCGTCACATTTACACCGAGCTTCAATCTGTTTCAGATGAGCTGTTGGATAAGCTGGATGTTGTTGACATATGACTTCCGCTCAGCATAGCACGGTCTTAATTTGCATCTGTGGGTCACGAACATGTTTACTGACAATTGACCCATCTTTACTCGTAAAGGAACTTGTATACCAAAGCACGATTACATCACCTCTTTCAATTTAACAACATTCCTAGTCTTAAACTGCCCCTGTCCCAACTTGTTTGGAACATGTTGCAGGCATCAAGTTTAGAATGAGCTTATTTTAACAAAAAATAATGAAGATGAAACATTAAATTAATAATTCAATACAGTTCAAAATGGATTTATGTACATTGTAAGGTCTCAAACATCTGATGACACATTTGGTGCTCGCCAAAAGTTTTGATGATTGTCAAAAGGTAAATGATCTTGTCTAATATTTGGAGCACACATATAACAGCAGTATCACCTTAAGGCTCAGAGATGCTCCTCTTCACAGCAGTGTCTAAATCTCATGTCATTCAGGGTCAAATTGACCCAAATAATGAAGGAGGTCTCAAATCATTTCATCATTTTTCTGCATGATGCACTGAACACACTCAATTTGGATAAACCAGCACTAGTCTGTTGATTCATACTGCTGACTGCACTTCAAAGCCTGAAATAAACCTGTGGAACTTCACATGTTGAGCTGATGATAAACAGCACATTGCTGCAAATACTGTATAATTCTAAAGAGGAAGAAATCAGTCCACCCTAGAAATTTTGTTATGGACCTGAGGAAAAATAAAAAAAATATATATTTAGCTGATTTCCTCTTGCCAATTTCCTTCCTTTTTAAAATGTTAAAATACAAAAACATAAATCTCTTTCAGTGATTTCACTAGAGTGTTCCTTAGTGTGTAGATAACCTTCGAGCCTACTGACAACACTGCTGCCAGTGCACAGGAACTGATCTCTCCAGATAGCAACATGTAAACTTTAAAAGCATTGTGGTTTTTGCTGCTAACAGCAGGGAGCATCACCAGATCATACAAATACAGCCACAAAAGAAGCTTATACTGGCATCCCATTACAGAAATGAAGGCACAGCCAAGCATGTTCAGCGTCACCTCAGAACAACAAAGTGGAAAATATCCCGAGGTGCCGCATTAATAATTGGAACTGGGCAGATTCGCCATTAGGGAGACGTTTATACTGCCAGTTGTCGACTGAAGTAGTGTGATCACTCTCTTAAGCAAGGAAAGCGTCGTGCTGTGCTCAGCCTCAGGCACAGAGCGAGTCATGGCCGCATGACAAAGTACCACGCAGGTGTGTAAACGCTGCAGTCGTCTATTGGTGTGTTTAGGTACCACCAGCTTCAGTCAGACGATGAAGTGTAGCATGTCAATGAATTTGATGCACCGTGGATTCGTCCTGCCCTAACTTCTTCTACTTTTTTCATGCGTGTTACGATGGCCTTTGAGTGGACACACTTTCCTATAAGGACTTTGATAGAATATTTTTTAATAAACGTTTCACATAAAGCACTGCACTAAATTCAGTTAAACAGGGCTAATTATGATCTCTTTGTAATGAAACATGCAGTTCTTTAAGTATGGATGATATCCGCATTATGCTTACATAAGCGCATTGTTCATCGTGAAAAAGTACCGCAATAACGATAAAGTCATCATATTGCCCACCTCTAGGAGGAGGCCTAGGCAGCAGGTGAAATTGTCAATGATTATATTGGGGAGAAAAAAAACAGAAAAGTCCCCCCCATGCAATAACATGATAGAATGATGAAATAACTTCTCCAAACGACGAATAAATTTACAATTCACCCTTAGAAACCTAAAATTTTGGGATTTTTTTTTTTGCTATTTTTTGAGTCAATTACAATTACAATTATGAAGTATTTACATGAGACAGTCACACAAGCCATATGTTGTTATTGTCAGGAGACCCTGGGCTACTCAGATATGGCATTGTTTGACATGTAAATGGTAACAGGCATTTGATATCTTTATGAATTTCTGATCAAAAATTTACCCAGCACCTGCTAAATTTTGTATTTTTTTAATTAAAGAGATCTTGAAAACAAGTGCAGTTGTAGTTATCTTCTCAGAAATTGTTAGTCTGGAGTGTCTGTGAGCTGAAAGTGCATTAACTTTGATGGTGATTCATTCTGTTGGTTATTATGAGTAAAAATAAACAGTTAGCATAAGGCGAACATGTTTTTATTGATTGTCTGTCCTCTTGGATTCAGGCTCAGCTCTAAAACTCTGATACACAGCCAGACAGCCTTTATTTTTAATTACAAATTGAGGTGCATATTTAATATCAGACACTTTTAATACTCAAAATCGATGTAAACTGAAAGCCCTTCGTTTATTATATGAAGGCTAAGAGCAGAGATGTAATATAACAGTAGCGAGTGGGGTTTGGGTGAAGAAACATCTCCTTCGTGCTACATTTGCGTTCAATAACCCAGGTGGATTTTGGATGGATCGGACGGGAAGGGGAGGATTGAATGTTTTGGCAGGTTAATCAAAACTTTGACTGACATGCAATTTATTCACTTCTTTTGGAGGGATGCCGTTGCTACACCCATTGGCATTGTTCACAATTTCAAAGGCAAGATCATTGGACAATGGAATGGCCTGTAATCTGTTCGACATAAAGGTAAGACAGTTTAAAATGTTTTGTAATGTGTATGAACAATATCCACTTTCTTTCATTGCTCGAAATTGGATTATTATTCATTTGCCTTGGGCTCATACATCCTATTTATCATATAAAATGGTTTTAAATTAAAAAAGGTTTCTGCCACAAAAGCAAACAAATGCAAACTATGGGAGCACATTTACAAAACAAATCCTTTTTTTTAAAAAAAAAAAATATATATTAGTAGTTTCTTTATTCAGGTGCCTTATTTTCGAAGGCAGGACATCAGTGCTAAACCTATCCAGCAGTTTATTACTGATTATTTAGTATTCTGGTAGAAATATTGACATTCGTGGATCACAAAATGCTAAACATTATCACGTTTGTCCTATACTGATAGAAATAAAGGTTCTGTTCAGGTACATTTTTCATACATCAAGGTACAAACAGTGTAAATGTTCCCTCAAAGGTACAACAGTGGTTTTAAGGTCTGATTGTGAACCTTAAATAAGTTTTTCCAGGTAAAAAGTTTGTATTTGTACCTTTTCATAACCGAATGTTTTAAAACAGAACAGTAAAATAAAGTCCTGGAGACGAGACGGGGTGTGTGGAGTCAGTACAGCTTAGACAATATCATTTCAGTGGATTATGGTACAGTTATGTTCCCTTACTAAAGGTACTGAGATGGACCCTTGAGGGTTCCACCTCAGTGACAAGAGGGGAACTGACCCAGTGTTAGTACCTTTATTTCTAAGTGTGTATTATTAAACATTACTGGCAAGATGAACACAATGCATTACAAAAGACTTTATCACTCGACTTCAGATTTGATGTTTTATATGAGGGAATTACCTCTATGGATACATGGGAGGCTCAGTGAATACATTTTTTAAGTACTTCAAAATTCTCCAAGCAACAAGAAAAAGGCTCGAACTACAAATTGGCATCAACCAAATCCTCCACAAATACAAGACTGGATTAACGTCATGTTTTTATTACGGAAAAATGACAGATTTAACACATACTGGGCAAAATTGATTAAATTTGAATATGTCACTCCTATTCATTCTAACACGTATGTTTTATAGATGTATGCAACACCATAACTATCAACATCTCCCTCAAACACTAAATAGTTCTATTTTCAGGGAGTAAGAAAACACTCCAGAATAAGACACGCTTTCTGTGCAATTTTTGAAAACTTTACCATTTATAAGAATGGAAATAGACCAGTTTGGTGATGTAAATATAAATAAAATTCCCACAATTCTTAACACCACAAATGTTCTGTAAGAAGAATGTTAATTTCAGTAGAAGATGTTAATAGTAACAAATATATGTCATTTCTGTAAACATTCAATTAAAAAATACTGACAATTGATACTTTTTTGGGTGGTTTTAATGCATTTTGGTGTGTTTTGAACTTTTTTGGCTAGAAACTACAGAAACAGTCTGGCAACCCTGCATTAGCCAAGATAAGCCAAATTTAGAAGACCAACTTACATGAAAAACTCATTCAAGTCAGTGAAAATTACCGCTCAACTTTTGCACAGAGACAGCAATCTTAGAGTTGCTACTGATGCTGAGAGTGAGAAAAGAGCACTGGCGCTATGTTGTGTTTTGATGGGAGCTTGGCTTTTGGAATGCATATTAGTTCTTGAAGACTCTAATGAAGGATGCAGCCACTGCTGCTGAGATGTGGTAAGTTGGTAGAGGCGCTGTACCTTTGACCAGTAGCGTGGTGGTCATCTCAGCTGATCCGAACTGATTCTCAGCCCGGCACACGTAGCTCCCCTCGTCAGCGCGGCTGGAGTTGACAATACGCAGTGTGTTGTTGCGGAGCAGCATAATTCTGTAAAATATAGGAGACCAAATGTGTCAATCAAAAGAATTTCGATTTGTTATGCAGCCCAAAAAAATTAGAAATATATTGAAAACAAAGAGCTGAATAACACTTAATTCATATTTTTTTAAACATGTTTAAGCCATACAACACAGAGGGAGTGTATTATCGCAAAATAACATCACGGCTGTGATTTGGTCGCCGTAGATCATCACAGCTGTGATGTTATTGGCGATAACTCACTCCTCGAGTGCTCTATTGCTTTTATACAACAGTTAAATAAATAAAGTAATAAATTAATAATCTGGGCCGTGAACGCGGCGTTTAATATGTTTTAATGTTCGCAGTTCCTTCACCAAATTATAGTTCCTTCACAAGCAGCTTGTTGGTACGTTACTCCGCCCACTCGCTGCTCGTCTGCTGTAAGTCTCGCATTTTGAAGTACAGACTGAGCCATAAAACTGCCAAAATATCAAGTTTAGCTCAGTTTTGTCAGTTTTTGCTGGATCAATATTAATGTTATTTTGTTCCAGCCAGTCTGTAAAGCATCTTACAGCCCAAAAAATATTATTATATTAGAATGCTTCTCAACCAATCAGCTTGCGTGGCTGGAACTAACTGTTGTATAATTCATAATCAAGAATTTACAAGAGCTGGTAACAGGCTAGTCAATAACAACAAAATAAGGTAACTTCAGGTAAAGCAGGTACACATCAGTATAGTCTATTAAACCTAATCACCCACAATTCAGTAATGAATTTAATTTTTTTCTACATTATGTGCTGAAATATACTAATATTTATTTTCGAGTGCTGCATCTGCATAAAGAGAATCTTTCTCTTATGTGTGGCTTTTGGTTTAGGATAGTCAGTGTAGGAGAAGTAAAGTGGGATGTTGCTTCCACCTTTAATAGCCCATTAAATAATAATAAGGGTGATACAATATAAAAAGAAGAATATGTATACAAAAGAAAACTGGCATATATACAACTAGAAATATATAAAAAATGCAGTATGATCTATCCTGAGATAATAAGATCTATCCTGAGATAATTTATTATATTAAATATTAACATTTCTCATTAGTAACAATCAACAAAGCCAGTGCCAGTAAGGTTTCCCACTTTTACCTGAACTCACCCTACTAAGCTGTACTGAATATTGGTTTATGATCAATTTAATGCTGGAGAACTCAACAGGACTCAATACACCAACAGGACCAGAAATGAATCAAGATTTAACATTTAGATTCAGCTTCAATCTATAATCTGAACACAACAATGAAATGCAATTATGCTGTGCTAATAAGTGTGGCAAAGCACTTTCATTTAAGGAATTGATTTCTAGATAACATTGTCAATAACCTCTTTTAAAAATGTTAATGAATAGATTGAGATCTATCAATGAGGATTAGTACAGATGCATATCTACAGATCTACAGCCATTAGCTAATTAATTATATTCTAGCAGAGTGAAGCAAGGAGGATGAGGTAAAAAAAGAAAGGAGCATAGATTACAACGTTCATTTAAGACATGTATTATTGTAGTACTAGTGCTATTATCTACAGACCTACACTGATACACTCTGATATGAACAGTGAGTGTGTACTGTCGCTGTCCAAAGAAACACACGTATCTCCATTTTTTCAGATTTTTCTTTTCTACATTATCTGAGCACATGTCCTTTACATTGTGTGAAATTTTTGTGATAAATTGACCGACAGAAATGTTCCAAAACTGCTTGGAATAAAATCTCTTTACATTAACTTACATTGAAAGTAAAGAACGTTTTTGCCCCTTTACAAAGTTACTATTTTGGAGATACTTATGTTTCTATGAACAGCAATAATATACATTACACATACAGAGTATACATCCCTATTCCTGACACATTCATTTCATTTTTATGTATAATTTCCATAGAAAATCATTGCCAAAAGAATGGGACACTCCGGGGCAGCCACGCCATGGTCTCCATGCCCAACAAGTGTCAGCTAAAGCCCCCCAGCCTTCAGCTATTGAGCATTATACAACAGTTAGTTCCGACTACACGAGCTGATTGGTTGAAAAGCGTTCTAACCGTGATGTCATTTCGCCATAACATCATGTTTTTTTCACAAACACTGTCTCACTCCGCTGAGACGCCGTTGCTAAGCAACGACTTTGACCGCTGTAGGAGACGCTCAAGCCATTTGAACGTTTTTACTTCTTACTTTGCCACAAACAGAAAATGGACACTTTTAAGATCACATTTGACCGACAGATTTGGTCAGACTCTGAAGATGAGACGACACTAAATTCCCAAACTGTCATCACCACTGAGCAGCTTTTCAGTCAGCAGCTGTGACAGAAGAACAGCTAAACAATCTGGAATCAGCCAGAAATGAACCCAACACCATTCGCCAAACTAAATGGGCTGTAAGATGCTTTACAGACTGGCTGGAACAAAACAACATTAATATTGATCTGGCAAAAACTGACAAAACTGAGCTAAACTTGATATTGCGGCAGTTTTATGGCTCAGACTGTACTTCAAAAGGCGAGGCTTACAGCAGACTGTGCAGTGAGTGGGCGGAGTTTGTTACTCTGACGTAGCAACAAGCTGCTTGTTAAGGAACTATAATTTGGTGAAGGAACTGCGAACATTAAAACATATTAAATGCTGTTTAACTGTTGTATAAACGCAATAGAACACTCGAGGAGTGTGTTATCGCCAATAACATCATGGCTGTGATGATCTACGGCGACCAAATCACAGCCTTGATGTTATTTCGCGATAACAAACTCCCTCTCATCTTCTATTGCTTAAGTGAAACTGCATTCTCTGGAGTGATGGATCCAGAGCTAATTATCCAATGACAGCACCTAACCTCACTAATGCTCTTGTGGCTGAGTGCCATCAAATCCTCACAGCAAATGTTACAAAATCCAGTGTAAATCCTTCCCAGAAGAGTAGAAGCTATTAGTGCAGCAAAAGGGGCGCAAACTCCCTACTGATACCATTGTTAGCAGATATCTACAAACATTTGGATGCTTACAGTACTGAGCAAGTTAGACCACACTTCATTTAATTTCCAGTCAAGCACAAGTTCTTCATTTTTCAGTACTTTAGTTTAGTGTCCATCCTTTCCTTTCACTCTTTTCAGGAGACTTGCTTTCAGCAGGGACATTTTCCATGCATCTGGTAAACATTTCTAAAGTTCAGTCTTAGAAGTTGTTTTCATTTTCTGCTTCTCATCAGCTTGGGGACAAAGTTGATGTTGAACCCTTCAACCATATTCAGTGATGTTGAGGTCTGAGTTCTAGAGTCCAGTCTATTACACATCTTGATCTTTGTAGTAATGTGCAAGGGGTCGTCTAGCATTTATCCCTATCAAACATTTTCCACAGGGTAAGTCATGACATTAAGTCCCAAGCCCCGCCTCCTGAGCACCGCCTCCAGTCCCGCCGTGAGGCCACTTTAATTTACCTCACGTTTGCCCCCAGCGTCCGAGATGTGGAGCAGGGCGGTGACAAGGAGGTAACAAGCTCTTTTCCTCGCAGCGGGACTGGAGGCGGTGCCCAGGAGGCGGGGCTTGGGGCTTACTGTCCCCCAGTTCCTTGCAGATTTCATCCTCTCCCTGCTGTCTTTGTGGGTTTTCGTCTGGGCTCGTTTAGGCCCGGCCTTCCTGTTGGCTCTCGCAGCCGTCATTGGGGCCCAGGGAACGACTGCATGCCACACATACATACTGCCTTCTGTTACTTCCAAAGATCTCAAACGTAGACTTAATGAAACCGAATCTCAGATGTCCAGTGTTCTAGTGCAAGTTCTCACAATCTTTTAGACCCATAGTGTTGAGTACTCTTCTCACCGTGGAAAGATGGACAGGAGCTTGATTTATCTTTTCTCTCAAAGATTTGATGGTGACAGTTTGTGGTCTTCCAGGTCTTGCATGGCTGGTAGGAATCCCCTTTTCTCTATATCATTTAATAAGTTTTTAAATTTAAATTTAAATTTTCACATTTTTTGACTTACTTCTCTTTGACTTTCACCTTACTTGTGCAAGTGGATATCTTACATTTAATCTCCTTAGAAATATCTGTTTTATATAAATAAATATCTGAATTCTGCAAGGAGCTAAAGTGTGTAGCTTATGTGAATGTCAGAGTCTCTTTGAAGGGGAACAGAATGTCAGTGACGCCTTTGGGAGCAGCTTTTGTTGGGAGGACACAGCTGAGGACACAGACTTAAGATGGAAAAGTTAAAGTGCATGAACATAAAAAAAAAAAATACTGACTGATTTGATATTATACTTTTGTATAATATTCTGTTAAATATGTTTCTTGGTTTTGCTTGATGTTGAAATAATGAATAAAATGATTTGTGCTTAAAGGCCATTGGTGGTCTTTGACTTCCGCACAGTACTGCAGGATGGATAAATACTTGCTACTGTGTATAAAAACCATGTCAGAAACACTATCTAAATACCCTAAACCACACAGAAGACATTCCACAATCAGAGTGACGCTGCGTTCTTCACAGCGAGAAAGGACAGAAAATGGAAATTGAATAATAATAAAGATAAGTGGAAAGTCTGACTTTTATCTTATCTCCCACTCTCACGCAGTGTTCTGAGGACTTGTTTCAGAGAGCTATTTCACTCTGCACTGATATAATGAATTAGCTTCAAAGACAGAACGTGCCAGCCCTCGTCGACAGTCCTGAGAAACACAATCACAGTAAAAGTGGAGTTTGAATAAAAGAAGCAGCACCGCGGCTCGCCCTGCATAATGCAAAGGCCTGAGCACTCTAGTTCACATGGGGTAGTATCAGGCATCTAGACCCGCTACGCGAACAGTTCAAACCATTCCTAATACGGAGGGTAAGATTACTGGAAATCAAATTCTTAGTCAAAGGCATAACATACCAACACTGTTCGAATGTAATTTGGCAATTGCGTGTTTAATTACACAGTGATTTAACATTCCATTAACATCCTTTATCAACAGCTTTGAGTCCGCACTTCTGAC